TGAGTCTTTTTAGAATATTCGTTTTCAGCTCTTGTCACTTCACTTGACATTTTATTGTCAACATATGTTTTGTCTGCTAGTTCAGGATGAGTATGTTCTTTTGTTGCATAAGCATTGTTAGCTCTTTCTTCTTCTTTTGCTATTGCATCGTCTACATATTCTTTGTCAGCTTTGTTGTCAACATCTGCTTTCAAAAGAAGTTCATTTATAGGTTTCTCGTTTAAAGTTCCTTTTGTTGGATTTATACAGACAGTATGGTTCTTGTCTTGAAACAGAAACTCGTCTGTCAATGGGTTTATCGTCAGTTTTAAGTTTCCTTCTTTCAATGACTCAGATATCTTAGAATAGTTTGAAAAGTTTGTTGTGTTCTTATTTAGAGCTTGTATAATGAGTTGTCGGTTGTGTTGTATTTCTCTCATAGACGCTGTTTCATTTGACATTTTTATTCTAGATAAAATATGCTTCAATAGAAAAAGAAAATTCAAGAGTTGCTACAACTAAACCATTAGATGAACTTTTTACTAATGTCGGTCAAAAGTTTGAGACAGAGACCGTAAAGCATGAAGGCTATCGTTTTGACTACCCATTGAGATGGTTAAGAGACCCATCCGTCACAAAAGCTTGGCTTTCGTAGAATGAAGTTCATTTCAGAAGCCATACATGGTTTCCCATTTACGGTCGGTTTTAGTTCGATACTATAACAAAGAAAAACGTACGCATGAGAAATTTGAACAGGGAAAACTTTTACAAGTGAATTTGCTTGTAAACTTAGAAACAACTCTTCAAGCTTTTCAAGAAAAAATAAACGATATCTATCTCGAATATGCAAACCAGTATAACATTGACGAAGGAGAGTACCATCTCGATATTATTTATGACAGGAAAAACGCAACTGTTAAAATCAATAAAATAGAAGACCTTGGAGAAAACGTTTATATTTCTACAAAATATAACAACTTGGCATGGTATAGATTTTTGAGGATGTTAAATCAGCCTGCAGAATATCCAGTACACCCGGACTTTTATGAAGTCGAAAACCCTAATGGAACATATGAAAATGTTTTCGACCCAGATGCTATTATAGTTCATGCTTCATTTTCTGGTGCGCAAAACTCTTTCTTATGCTGATGAATGACTTTTACGAAAAACCTACAAAGTTATATGAACCGCCGAGTGGAAGTATTTCAGACTTTCAAGTATGGTTTACTACAGATGGAAGAAAGAGAATAATTCCATTATACCACGCGTTTTACTTAGAACTTAGTTTCATATACAACTACTATCGAACGTAAAAATATAATTTTTTAATACGGTTGAGGTGTTGGATTTGGTTGCCAACTAGACTGTGGTGCAGGTTCAGGCTGTTGTATAACAGGAGCTTGTTCTTCTGGTTCAGGGTCTTTAGGTATAATACCAACAAACTGACCTACTCTTTTACCAATATTTTTGACTCCGTTCCAAATTCCTCTTCCTACGGTTTTTATTCCATTCCATATACCTCTTCCAACATTTCGAAGAAGTTTCCTATCTTACTGAAGAAACCCATTTTACTATATGTAAAAATCTAATGTCCGCCTAGTCTCTTACGTTTCCTGTTGAGTTCCATAGCATTCTTTAACTGGAGCTCATACATTCTGTTTCTCCTCTGGTAGAAAACATATTCTGGGTCAACTCCTGTGTTCGCGTCATCTGCATAAAGTTGTTTATATCCCACTTCAGGGTTTGTATAAAACTCTTTCCATCTCATATTTGCATACCATGGTGGCAAACCTAACGCAGCGTCATTTGACATGGCAGTTTGCATTTGTACATCTGTTGGCACTTGACCATAGTTTGCCATTGCAGTTTGTATTCTAACTTCATTTGGAATATTCTCTGGGTTTGGTTGTCCAGGTTGCTGTGCATTCGCTAAGTTCTGTGCGTCCATTTAATATTAGATAAAAATATCTCTTACGAGTACATATGCTGAACATTTGCAGGCATTGGTTCATCTTCATATTCTCTGTACTTTTCTGCCACGTCAAATAAATAAATGACACAATGGAAAAAACCTAAAACAAGTAGTCCTATTTCAAACCACATTTACTTACTATAAAATTTCTTTATTGTGACACTTTCTCCAGTTTATAGGACCTCTCTCATATTCTATCTTGTCATATATAAACTCATAGTCATGTATGTCCTCTAACCATCTCATAACGGTTTCCAAACCACTTTTATCGGATGTAAAGTAAAAGCATGGATGGTTATGTAAAACGTCTAAAGTTTCTAAAGAGTCTCTCAAAGTCCAGTCTACTTGGTATTGAAAATCCCATGTGTTATAGAACGGCGGGTCCACTATAAAGAAAACATTTTCCTTGTCTTTATATTTTTCATACAATCTGTCCAATGACATCTCACAAACTCTATACCCTCAATATATTTTTCTATGTCCTCTTTGAAAACATTTGTATAGTTAAGATATAAAACTTTTGACATAAGTGTTTCAATGTCATGAACTCTTATAGCACCACTATATAATAGTCTAGAAGATATACTATCCCAGTCAATATACTCTGCTTTTTTCAAAACCTCTCTGACAGTATTTTTCTTATCTAATGGTATACGTTCCATCTTACCTATAGGTATCTTTTCTTTTAACTCTTTCAATATTTTGTTTGTGTCTGGTATATGTTTGAGACGGTTCATATAGTTGTCGAAGTCATTGCATATAATCTTTGAGTCAGGAAATACAGTATGGCACAAATGAGATATATAGAAACTTCCACCGAACAAATCTACAAATGTTAGACCATTCGGTAGTTTCTTAAGTTCTCTCAATAGAATATCTTTACATCTACTCTTATTTCCAAAGAAGGGTAACGGTGGTTTTGTAAAATTCATTTTATATATATATAATAAAAATGTTTTTACCTGAAAAGTGACAGAAAAGTGACAAAACATGAAAACATATATAATTTGTGAAAAGCTCCTGGAAGACCCGTATATAAGAACTTCATTTATACTAAACATCTTCAGGGCTAGAGGGCACGAAGTGCCTGGAAGCCCCACTACCTTTTTTTTTTTTTTTTTTTTTTTTTTGAATGAATGTATAAATCTAAATAGTATATTGTCAAAAAAAAATAAAAAATAAAAAAAAATAAAAATAAAAAATTAATAATAATAGTACCATCACCACAATTAGCAAATTCAAAAGATATATGAATTGCTATCGATCTCTTTCAAACAAACACATAGAAATTTTGATTAAGTATTTCAAATTTTTATATGAGATAAATATTGAACAGATAAAATATAAAACAATTTTTAATAATAAATATAGATATTTATTTTGTAGCCATTAAAATTTCTCGGCTATCTAATAAAATTTTGTGAGAACGTAATCTTTTCAAATTTAGTATCAATCTTTGGTCTTTTATTGTTCTCTCACATGTTGCTTCTGAAGGTGAAGCGGAGATAACACGAAGGGCGATATCTGCAAAGATTGATACATTGCCATCTCTATGAGAGATTTCTTCCCAACCGTATTCTTGACGTTCTTGAATCATATCATCAGAGAAGATATCATTATCACTATTAATATACGTGTTAAATAGTGTAATAATATCTGTTATTGGTTGACCCGGAATACGAAATTGTTCCAAAATACTTTTGAGATACTGCCTAGCTGCAACAAAATGGTTAACCGGCTGATTTGAACTAGATGTTACATCTGCGAGATCAAGCATAGGAGGGTCAATTGTAGCAGTTACCTGACGAATTGATCCCTCCTCAACCATATCAAGAGAAACTTCAGTCGAACCTTCTTCAAAGATAGAGTCCATATAGATAGATTGAATGTCTTCTACTGGATTAACGAAAGTTACGTTTGTAATATCAAATGAATTAATTGCCGGAGATTCGTTGATCTGCGCTCCGTGGACGAATTTTTGGTTGAAATAATACCTACCTTTCGGTGTAAAAGCGAAGGCTAAGCACCAAAGACCTCCAAAGTCCGATCCAAGGGTATAGTTCAACAACGATCTTGAAAGGATTCCAGCAAAAGGATTGTTGTTGCTGCTGGAAAGGTATTGGAGTGCTTCAATACCCTTGCAAAGCCATACGTAGCAATCAGATATCTTGGTTTTATCTGATTCGAACGTGGAAATAAGCTTCTTGAGAATTGCCAAGCAGTCTCTTAAGAACTTGATGTTTTCAATATCAATACGCGTATATCTTGAAATTTTGTCTTGATACTTGATAATAAACATACAAATATTATAATCATAGATCCACCTGGTGGATACATGCTTTGGACAGAGAGCTCCGATGTCTTCAACATGGATTCTACAAAGAGCTGATATTTCGTGGATATGTTTCACAATTGCTCCTAATGCTACGTCTTTTGTTGTCATATATTGATAACAATTATGAATCCTGTGGCATAAACACGGGATAAACAAGATTTTGAATAACCTTGGGTCATTTGAGTTGTAGAACGATTGATTCCATCCTTTCTGAAAACATTTCAATTGCGCTTTATTGCCATCGCAAACTACACTGCTGATCTTAACATCTCTAATGAAGATTCTGTTAAATCCTTGAGTAAGCGAGTGGATATAATCTTCAGATGTTCCACCATTCATTTGGATTGACTCAACAGGATAGGGCCGCTTGCTTTGCAGAGGATTTGTGAGGGAGAAGTCCAGATTGTGAAACTGCTGAGTCTTCCCCTCATCAATGGCAACACAGGTACAGGCAAGCTTAGCAAACTCATCAACTTTTGCAACATGGATTGAATTTGCAATTTGTATCATTGTTTGCCTTAGTTTGTCAGTTGAAATAGGCTGGTATATTTGAGAAGCTAGTTTATCAACATTGATGTTAACATTGTGTAACTGTGGGAACTTCAATATCATCGAGTCTGCAGTATACATTATAATGGTTTTAACTAGCTTTGTAAACTCTGGGCTTGAGAAGGTATTCAGAGCCAAGTTAAATCTTCCAGTAAATGTAGCAAGCTGTTCATAGATATCCCCTAACGATATAGGTGTAAGCCCTGTTGCTGGGACGTTTTGATAGTATTGATCGATTGTTTGTTGTGATGCTACTTCTCCTGGTGTGCATATGTGCCGTTTGTTTTGGATCCATTTTTTGAAATGATCCTCACGCATTTCTTCCATTGCACAGTGGCATATAGTTCCGTCAGGACGCTTTACTAGTTCATTGCATTTAACATAATATTTTCCGTACTTGTCGCCTGGTTTTTTATATCTAAGATACTGATGCTTAGTACCGACCTCAATGTCTTTATAGTACGTCGGTACTGCATCAATCATTGTTGAAATAATGAAGTGATTACTTAAGCATTTTTATTCTCAATTTGTTTTGAATAAATTCAAATTTTTAATGCATAATTTTTAAAAATTCTCTAATATACCTTAGATATAGATACATTTATTATCAATTCAAAAATTTCAATATAGTTTTGGGATGGGTAGCCCATCCTATATATTCAAATTTTCAATGATTTTGGGTTGGGATTCCCAGACCAGAATAATTTCTAATTATAATTCGTAAAAATATATGTATATTTCATTATTACATCATTTAATATATTTTTAGTTAAATAGTCACTATTTTCACAATTTTTATTATTAATTACTGAACTAAACAGGTTTCAAATAGAAAGAGTATAAAAGATAAGTGTTTTTCTACATGTGTTTCGATAAGAATTATAATAATTGATGGTTTTTACAGCCAAATTTATTTTATTATTTAAATTTCAATGAAAAAAGATAAGAATTTTTTAATAAAAATTTTTTATTAAGAATTTTTTTGTAAAATTGACACTGGGATGACGATAGGGCTGGGATCTTATCCACCCCGTTCATTTGGGAAAATTGCAGATCTATATTGTTAAACTATTAGTTTTACATGGAGCAGATGTCAATGCAAAAGATGGCCAAAACAATAAGCCACTTCATTATGCAGCAAAACAATGTAATAAAGATATGATATACATTCTTATTTCTAACGGTGCAAACCCCAATATCAAAGATAAAAATGGATACTATCCTATTCATTTAGCAACAAAATTGAAAGATTTTGACATAGTTGGATTTCTTGTATCTAATAGCATCAAATATACAGTTGATGTCGATGCGAAAAACAATGATGATAAGACTGCTCTTCATGTTGCAGTTTTAAATAATTCTTTGAGGATTGTTAAACTTCTTATTTCGCACGGAGCAAATATTAATGCAGTAGATAAGGGAAATATTACGCCATTTCAATATGCAATAAGAAATTATCATAGAGAAATTATCAAAATTTTCATTTCAAAAGAAGGAGATGTAAATACAAAAGTAGAAAATGGATTATCAATTCTACATTTTGCTGCGATTTTTGGCGATAAAGAAATGATCGAAATTCTCATTTCGAACGGAATCGATATCAATTCTAGAATCCAAGCAACTAGTCAATCAGCACTTCATATCTCTTTAATGTTAAATTATATAAATTTCATTGAATTTCCGACTTTTGATAGCCATGAAATTTTTGAGTTTCTCATTGAGAATGGAGCTGATATCAACGCAAAAGATATCAATGGCAAATCAATTTTTCATTATGCCGTTAAGTATAATAATATTAAAGCTATCGAATATCTTATTTCACATAATGTTAATGTGAATGCTGCTAATAACAAAGGACAAACGGCTCTTCATTATGCAATAATCAAACATCACCAATTTTCTCGTTTCACATGGTTCAGATGTCAATGTCCAAGATAAAAAAGGAAGAACACCTCTCCATATTGCAGTGCAGTACAATTACAAAGAATGTGTTGTATTTCTTATCCAACATCGTGCAGATCCTGATATCATTGATGAATATGAGAAAACTCCACTTTGTATTGCAATTGAAAATAATTATAATGATATTGTTAGTCTACTTATTTCATATGATACTAATATTTGCTACAAGCAAAATTTACTTGAATAAAAATTAAATCACATCATTTATGAATCGATCTATAACCGAAAAATAGTAAGAATTAGATCCAATCAAACACAAGAATATTTAATGTTTCTCTTACATAACAGTCGAAGTTTAATTATTCTTCAATAACCAATAAAAATGAATAATTGATAAATATGTACCAGAGAATATAACGATTTCATAGAAAAAGAGAGATACGAAGAGACAAAACATTTAATAAATATACGCTGTGTTGCCAATGGTATGTAATTATTTCAGATTATTTCATATTTTTCTATTCAAAAAACTTACATATTAATTTGAATTGAAAATAATCGTAAATTAAAAAACTTTCTTCATCTATGATTTTTACTTAATTGAGTTTTGATACTTCTTCTGATAACCAAGCCTTTAACCTGTACTATACTTCCGGAACTTACATTGGATATACAAGTAACGATTTTGTTTCTGGAAGAAAATGTTTGGAATTTTTATGGGAAAATGGCACTGGTGGATATTCAGTAGGGTTTTCAAGTCAGTCACTAGATGTTTATGTATTTATGCATGATTCCATTCACCGAATGGATTGTATCTTAAATGGTAAAACAATAAGAGAAGAGGAAACAACAATTAATGCAAAATTAAATGTTAAATATATGGTATGTATTAATACAGATGAGAATACATTTTTGCTCCAGTATGGTAATCAATATAGATATATAGATTATGTCCCCGTGGCCACTGAAAAATTAAGAATTTTTGTGCAAAATGGAGCTATGGCAAAGAGAGCATATGTTAGATTATTTTTTGGGAATACACGCTTCAATAATACCCTTCCTCCGAGATATTCTGCTATTATTTCTAAGGATGTTGATTATTATATAACTTGTAGACAACCTTTGCTTTTTCGATACGATAATTTGCTAATTTTTCTATTTGTTTTAGATTAGAATGAAAATTTTAATTGAGAAAACTTTCATATATTAAATAAAAATTAAATGTTCGTAAATGAGCTACATTTTGAACCGAGTCTGAGTTTTATCTAAGATGTCAGCCGACTTCTGAGTTTTATCTACAATATTTTTGACAACAGTATATTCTGTAACAGAACTTCCAATATCTGTAAGTGTCAGAGACATTTGAATACATTTACATGTTAAAAAATGTCACGTTTAAGTTAAAATGTGACCAAACCGTTTCTATAAACTTCTATTCTTTTGGTTCGATTTTGTAAAACATATATCAGTGTGCTATATAGCCGATACGGTTTTATGTATGTTTTGATGTACTTCTATATTTGATTCAATTTTTGTAATTTGTTGAGTTCTTTGAAGCTCAAATATTTAGTGATGCATTTCTCGAACTTATTTTATTTATAAGTTAACCTTGAAACATGAATTTTAGTATATCATGAGCATATTTTTTTCTAATTTTGCAATACTTATAATATCATACCAGGATTCATGTGGAAGTCTAATATTTGGTATATAATATTCTTACAATAAATGTATTAATTCAATTATATTCAAAATGATGGGTCGCAATTTTTACTGAAATTGCAAATTTAATTTCAACAATGAAATTATTGTTTAAAAAAATAGCACAACAGCAAGATGGACAATCATATATAGAATTATAATGCTCCATATAATGCTTTGATTTGATGCGTATATAATGTTATTTTTCGAACATCTTTGTAAAAAATTGATTTTTGTAATTTTTGAAAACATTCGATTTTATTTCGAGATTTCCTCTATAGGTGAAGTATATTGAACAATATTCCTATGGGAGAAAATAATTGTAAGTATGAGTACTTTCATTAATACTATGGGTGCCATGGTTATCGCTCAAACGATCAAGTTATATCTCGATTGCGTAAATTGAAATTTTGCTATTTTCTAAATTCACGGCAACAACATTCTTTTATCCTGATCGTACATCACAATATTTGAATGTGCGACCATTTGTTCAAGAAACCGTCAAGTTATTCTTCATTTTTCATGCCGCGGCGAACAAAAGCAGTTGCAAAGCGTATAAGAATTAGTTCAAAGCGCGAAAAATAGGGTAGAGCCATATGTCGTCAACACTGTTGAATTTGTGCTATCTGTATTATTGAGCGGCGCTACATTTTGCCAATCAGAATTTCAATTCATGCTGAATAACATCAAAGTTCCGTCAGAAGCTACATTTCATCGAGTCCAAGAAAAGGTTGGTCGTGTTATCATAGAAGTTGCCAGAGAATCTGTTAATTATTGGAAATCTCGAATGAGAAAATGTTCGGGACTTTTGTTTGACGGTTCTTGGAGTCAGAGAAGAAATGCAATGTTTTGCTATGTACAATTTGTAGAAGAGAAACTCAAAAAAATTGTAGATTGGGAAGTGATATCTAAATCTTTTAAAAATTTCAAAGGTAATTTCAACGGAAAATCAAATGAAATGGAATTTGAAGGCTTAAAAAGAATGCTGAAGCGTTGGAATAATGAAAAACGTGTAAATTTTTTTGTGCATGATGGCGATGTCAAAATTGTTTCTACAATCAAAAATACGTTCAAAGGTATCAGAGAATACAGAGATCCTGGACATTTTCTTAACAATATACAGAAAAAGCTCAAACTGCCAGAATTCAGAATCTTATCTAGCATTTCAAAGAATTTATTGCGTTGGCTTAGGCAACTTCTCAATGACACACATATGTCAATTAAAACAAAGAAGTTTTTATGGTTGAATTCCGCTAAACATTATGCCGGAAATCATAAATTTTGTCCAGATCCTGAAAAATGCAAGATGATTAAACCATGGAAATATGCAAAAAATAAAACTGCTATAAAAACACTTAAAAAATTCCTCGAAGATACCGTAAAAATCTTTGATATGGTAAAAAAGATTCATTCAACTCAAGTAGTTGAATCGATAAACCATATCAAAGCAATGCTTGCTAATAAAAATATTAATTGGCATGCTTCTTGGCCAATTAGGATGGCAGTCACAATATTGCATTTCAATGAAAGTATGTTTGAAACGATTGTAGCAATAAGATACAGGTTAAATTTACCAACAATGCCAGAAATGATGAACAGATATTTCAGAATGTATGATACAACAAAAGATTTAATCAAAGCATTCAAAAATTCAAAGCAAGTTCAAAAAAAGTTTGCGGCATTAAGAGCTATAAAGAGAGGTCTTCAAGCTACCGATGATCGTATTACTCTTAAATCACATAAATAATTATTAAATTTATTTCACCCTCAAAACATCATAATCTTGCACCTTCTTTGAATAAACACTTTCACCTTCTATTTTTAATTAATGTTTTTTAATTGTCCAAAATTTTTAGATTATATAAGATATAATTTTTTATAAAAGTATTATTTTCTAAAAGATAAGTATATATTCTTAATCACAAAACCTAGCATTTTATCATATCTATATATCAGCTTCCTAAATATAATACTCATATAGTTAGTATGATTTTAATGTTTTTGAACATGAAACGAAAATATGATTACAATCATATAACATAATGGAGTTATTGATATAACTTATATGCATGATACATTAAGAAGTCTTCCAACAATATAGATATAGTTGTAGATTCCTATGATTCCTTTTATATTGTGAGATAATAACATTTTTATGCTGTCAGGAGCCTATGAGTGCCCATCCTTAAGGGTACACATACTCACATAAAATCAACAAATCCTTGTTATAATTGTAAAAAAGTATAACATTCATATTAGGTACTATATATTGATTTACACTAACTTTTTACTGACGATAAAAATATTATCACTGCAGCTTAAAATTTGGGAAATAAAGTTAGATTGTGAAAAGAATTGGCACTTAAATTATCTGAGTTTAAACATATAATTTTTTAGTTGCTGCAGAATGGAGAGGATTTATTCCAAAATGAAATTCTATAAATTATAACTTTATTCTTTAAAAAAACAACAACAATATAAATTTATTCGAAAAACTCTGGAAGTTTTTCCAAAATTTGAGATGAAATTGTTTCCAATTTTTCGTTTTGGTCGAGATTTTCGATATCTTCAACGTTATCTTGTATCTCACTCTGCTGCACGACAAAAGATAACTCTGGAGTGTTCATAATTCTCCAAATCGCCGACAAAACAGAGAAAACAATTTCATTATTATCAGAAGAAATTCCTGGAAACAGAGAATTCAAAAAATCAGGAGTAACTAAAGAAAGAAGTGAATTAGTTGGGATTCTAACAACTAAAGAACTAATAAAATATATAGAATATAGCATGTTTTCGAAGCTCCTCTCTTGTAATGATGCCAAAAGATTAAAAATGTCATTTTCAAGAATAATTGAAATTAAATTATCAGAACAATGAAGAGCTATTTGGGCCATTGCTGTGCAAAATACTTGTATTGGCCAGCTATCATCTAATTGCACCATGTTATTCAATAATGACGTAAAATCGAAGTCAATTGTGAATTCAAAAATTTCTGAAAGGTGTCCAAGTATTTTTACAGCATACATCGAGTTAATTATGTCATCAAATGATGAAATAATCGATAATATCCTATCTAATATAAAAGATTCAATGAGAATATCTGGATTAATTAATTTTTTGAGAATTAAAGTGTCAATTGATGCCAAAGTATATCTAACACCTATTTTCTTAATAAGAGAAATGAAAAACATGCCAATAAATTCTGATAAATAGTCAATTGGGAAAAAATCTGATTTTGTTAGTTTAAAATAGAAGAAATTGACGCCATCATTCTTTTGTAGTGATTGACATTCTACGGCAGCGTCATTGATCATTGTAAAATCGACATTTGAGAGCAATTCTTTTGCATAAGTTTGATCTCGATTAATAATGAATCCATATGCAGTAAAAACATAATATTTCGATTTAAATAGTTCTATTTCCATTAAATGTGCGAGTGTTTGTTGTAATTCAGCATCAATTAATGAAATAAAAATAGTATCTGGAGCTTTTTCGCATAATAAAGTAATAATTTCAAGTGCAAATATTTGTATGTCTGGATTTTCGACCATTTGTATATATTTTATTAGTAGATGCTGTATATCAAACTCGGTAAAATGTTCAATTTTGTCGATTTTGTCAAATCTAGCAAGAAATGTCTTAATATTGTATAGTAAAACTGGAATTGACGTAATATTACCTTCATCTTCTGCATTTTTAAGATTAGTTATGTCTTCATTTAATTCAAAATATGATTCTTCACCAGCAATAGGTTTGTTATCTGTATCTATTAGACTTTCCGCTTCCTTTTCAATCGTTTCTAATGTTTCTATTTGTTCTTTCTGATTAATAGTTTCCTTGAATTCATCCATGAAAAAAATCTTATATAGTAAATGAATGTTAAAGCATAAAATTTTGAATAAATGGTGTTTTTATAGCAATATATGTTAAAATATGAATGGTTTTTCAATAATTTTAGGAAAATTATCTATGAAATTAAGAAATTTTTGATGAAAATAGTTACAAATGGTATTAATAAATATACAGACAATTTATTTTACAATTCAATATAAGCACTGCATAAAATTGGTCTCAACCAAACAACAGGACCATAAGGAACATCCCATCTGCACTCGTAGTCATACTGACCATGGTTTTCAATCTCAAAAGTGATTACTTTCGTGAAATTTGGTATAGAAAGCAAATCATCGTGAGATAATGTAATATTTTTCAAGATATCCTCAACAGTCTTCCTTATATAGTATTTATTTTCAATTGTACTTTTGTGGAAACAGTTACAAATTTCTAAAAGTTGAATTTTTGCGTTTTCTGGCTTTAAATAAACCAAAAACCTGAGAACAAACACGTATGCAAGGTTTGTTGAGAATCCTTTCTTCAAACTTTCCAAAATTTTGAGAAATCCTTTGTAAATCTGGTCAATTTTATAAATTCCGCTGGTAAATGCGAGCAAACATAACAATCTAAGCTTCTTTCTTGAATTTCTTGGATCAAAGTTAAAAATGTCTTCAATTAAATTGACAATTACAACAGGATCTTCAACTAATAAAGACATTAATTCATAACAAGTATAAAACATTGCAGGAAGCTCTGATTGCATTCCTGATTTAATTAGATTAACAATGAAGCTTCTGTTTGTCTTAATGTAACTGATAAAATCAGGAATTCTAAATTGATAAGCGTAATTCACGAAAGAAAGGGCTCCAAGAGCATTCATTGGTTGGAGATCAGTAAGACAAATAAGAATAAACTCCGAAATGTTGGTTTTCGTGACAACAAGTTTTCTTATAAATCTTCTATAAATAGAAAAGCAATCTTCATCGCTAGGATACTCATGGAAGCGTTCTATGCTTGAGAGTATCTCTAATGCGAACGATGTGTCGAGTTTCGTGACTGAACTTTTCATTAAATATGAATAAATAAATGAAAAATACGAATGAGCGGATCCCGGACTCTTTGTATAGGAATTCAGGGTCTGGAATAAAACAGGAAACATTTCAATGACCTTTTGGTCGGGCTGGAGCATTATATAATGAGTTGGAGATTGAATATTGAATTTAAATGAAGGATTTTCAAGGAAAATCAGGATCATTTCTGTTATACGGTTTACAACAGCGCATTGTGTGAACAGCATGGTCGAAAACTGAAAGATTTTTGCGATGGATTCTCTACAATCTTGAATTAATGAATAAAGTCCAGGAGTTTCGCAGTCAGTGAATGCAGCAATCAATATACAAATGTATGCTTGGCGTAAACCTAACGCTGTATTCGAAAAAATCAGTTTTCTGAAATTATTATAGTATTCGCGTAAAATTGGAGCTTTGATGAAGTGACGAAGTATTATTAGGTATAAATCTCGTGTCGATATTCCTAAAGAAAGGTTGTGAAGGAGCTTATTTGCCAAAGCAAACTGCATATCTGCATTTTGTTCAGAAGCAAATGGTAAATTGACGAGAAAAGACGCTATAGCATCGAGAGCGTATGGCATATAACTAACTAGTAAGTTGATTGATGTTTCAATTTGTCCATTTAACAATAATGACAAAGGAGGTAAAAAATAAGCGGATGTAAGCACTGATTTCCCTTGGGATATGTATAAAGCCGTAAATGGATTGTAGCAAAGTAATCGAACAATTTCAGGAGAAACTAATTTTTGAAAATTTAAAGGTTTTGTGAGAAGGAGATTAATAACTTCAGCAACAAACTTAGCGGTATGAAAATAAAATGATAGATTCTGTATGGACTTCATAATTGTCATTAAATACTCAAGAGAATTCCTCCAAATTTTGAATGAGTTTTGGAAATCTTTTTCTGTAATATTAGGGGAGCCAAGCTGTACGGCATTCCAAAATAGTCCAAGAACTGAGTCCTTTAGCTCTGGAAGGTCATGAAAAAGAAAGGTAATAACGAATTCTGTAAATTTTAAGTTTTGATGGAGTAAATAGAACGCGATTGATATTATACAAGCTTTAATATGCTCTTCTTGTGATAATGATTTGATTAAATTGATAAAAACGGAAAAGTCTAAATTTGAATTCGTAAAATCGGTAACTGTTGGCGAAATAAGTGAAATATCAATTAATTCACTCGAAATAGCAGCTGGTGTCGCAGTTCCTAATTTAATTCGTTGAAGAAGATCAATATAAAGTTGCAAATGTTCAAATGCCGTTTTTTCTGTGCAAAACTTTTCAAAATTCTTATATTTCGTCTTCATGGAATCCATCAAGTCGGACTTATACTTGTTTATCTCCTCCTGGATTAGTAAAGAACTGCTTAAAGTCATCTCAATAAAATTGATAACGTCACTTTTTATATCAAATACTAATTTTTGGCATATATTACAGAGTGTTCAGCATCCCCATAGTAATTACATTTAAAATTTTAAGTCAAAATCACAATTATCCTTTTGATAACATTTCCTTTCCTCAAAATTAGAGTAAATGTTGTTAATTAACAAGTTTACATATTAAAAGATATTTCATTAGGATTATGACTTTTTTATGTCAATAGTTTTATCCAATAAAAACATAATTTTTTGCGAATTCTTCATTGATTTTTTTTGATCAAAGTAAAAATTTGGTGAAATATAATAATAAAGAAATAAATTTACAAGTTTCAATATATGAATGAGGTCAGGTGTGTGGGGCTTCCAGGGGCTGCGCCCCTTCTAGCCCCTAAGAAATGGACACAAGACCCAAGAGGAGGACCGAACCCCAGCCGACCAGCCGGTGACAACACTTTGACCGAGTAGTTTTTTGTGCTGAACAAATAGTGTCATATAAACATCTGTCAAAAACCGCTTTTTAACTTCACTTAAAATGCCACGTAAGCTACGTAAGAATATACGTAAGAGGAAGGGAGCATTGAAACATCCAATAGTAAAACTGACACCACAACAACAGTTGCAACAACAAATGCTGAATGACCCCACTATGTTGCAACAAATGTCAAGCAACCCTATGCTCTTAAACCGAGTTCTTGGTGCACAGAGTGGAGGTTTAAGAGCGGCACTTTTAGCGAAAATGGCAGGCTATGGTGGAGCTGCAGACGGAACAGCCTATAACCCTCAAAGTCAAATGAATTTGAGTTCACTCAAAAATCAAATATCAGATGTCAAAAAGTCAAACATAGACATACAGAAGCAAATAAGTGAAAACGAAAAGAAACTAGAATATGACAGACACACAAAGAAACTCAATGAGTTAAACGTAGAGAAAAAGAAGAAAGAAGAACAACTGAAAGAACTAAGTACAGAGGAATATGCGAAAAAAGTGTCAGAAAAAGCAGCAGAAGTAGCAAAAATGGAACAAGATGTTATAAATTTGAAAAACCATACTACTCAATATAAAGTACTGAAAGATGAAGAGATAAAACAAAAAGCCCTGAAGACATATATGGATAGCGATGAGTATAAAAAAGAAGTTGAAGCAAATGTAAAGGCAGAAAAACTTTTACAGTTGCAAAACCAAACCGTACAGTATGAAAACTTAGCACAAGAAAGTAAAAATAACGACGCAGCCATGCAAAAGGCAATGAAAAGCGCAGAATATATAAAAGCTAACAATGACTGGTTAGATGCCCAAGCCAACGCTAAAGCAGCCCAGCTTATAGGGTCAATAAGGACAAAAATACAAGCGGATGAAGACAGTTCAAATGAAGCTTTAATGAATGCTGACTTTAAGAACGCCTTCGAAGCTCTTCATAGTAAGGTGAAACTAGTGAACGACTTCTCATCTGGAAAGAAACTGAAGTCTGAAGGTTTCGACAAAGAGTTAAGAGAAGTAGCACAAAATCTGACGAAAATAACAGATGCAACAACGAGACAGGCAGTTCAAAGTGCCTATGACGCCGTTAGAGCAACTGTTGTGAAAAGTCAAGAAAAAGAGTTACAACAGACCAAAACAGACCTAGTAAATGCTTTCTTAAAAACGAAAAGTCAGGTAGGACATTATGCTGCAGATGGAACATATGTGCCAGCTGGTGGAACTTATATACCAGCTGGTGGAACTTATATACTAGCTAGTGGAACTTATATACCACCAAACCCTCCAAGAGAAGCACCTGCACCAGGACTACCTAGAACATTTACATCGTCACATGGACACAGACACAGGCATGCACCAAAACCAACACAACAACCAACAGTTCAAAACCCTGCACAACAACCAAAACCAACAGTTCAAAATCCAGCACAACAACAACCACAACCAACAGTTCAAAACCCTGCACCAAAACCAACACAACAACCAACAGTTCAAAACCCTGCACCAAAACCAACACAACAACCAACAGTTCAAAACCCTGCACCAAAACCAACACAACAACCAACAGTTCAAAACCCTGCACCAAAACCAACACAACAACCAACAGTTCAAAACCCTGCACAACAACCACCTCCACAACAACAACCACAAACAGAGCAAGGACATAAAAGAAGTAGAGAACAAGGAAACCAAGATTTCTTAAAAATGCTAAAGGAAAATTATGGTTACCCAGCTACTCTTGACTTTAGTGACAGATATAAAGAAGCTATTAGAAAGTTCAAGGAAGGAAATACTGACCCGAACCTATTTAGCTTTATGGCTCAGCACCAAATGGGATATAATTTCAAACCTGGAAAATACAAGCTCGCTAAGGGATATGATTTAATAGCATATCATCCAAATGACATGAACGAATTTACTCCGAGATATTTGGTGTCAGAGCTAAATGACAATTCAACTCTCTTCATGAAACGCGTAAAAAATAAAGACGGAACGAAAGAAGAAAGGTTTATGAGTCCGGATGACTTAGATAGGGAACTTGTTAAAAACGGTCTCGGAATATATGAAATGCCAGCAGATGAGGTACAAGAAACTCCACAGGAAGAAGTTCAGATACAACCAGACATGGAAGAAATAGTTCAGCAACAACAGCTAGAAGAGCCTGAAGGAAACGAACAAGTCCCTCCTTTGGAAACTAACTTCACAGAACTAGATGAAGATTTGGAACAGCCGAAAAATCTTGACCCTCAACAAGAGTATGAGGTGAATATGGAATCTTTCCAAGAGTTTAAGAAAAATTCGGCTGACAGAGTAGAAGAATATCGAAAAATGTTCGCCGACATACAAAAGACTCCAACATCAGATGAAAATATTCAGCATAGAATGGAAGAACTGAAAGAAAATGTACACAAATACAATAACCCTTTTTACTTACGAGCATATAACGTTCAATCTTTGGCTGAACTCGGTGAAAATAAAAGGTTAAATTTCAACAAAACATATAGAAATGAAACATTGTTTAAAGTTCATTCAGAAACCTAACCAATATGGAAACAAACCTACTTTTGTTTCTGCAGACTATGGAACTACAATGAGATGGGGTCATAAAGCTAACCCGGATAGGTGGTTCATAAACTTACAACCACAATTCCAAGAAGTTGTAGACGCAATGGAAGTCAATGGTGAACCAGATATAGCTGGTATTTTCAGCGCGGCTTTAATGCCATTGAAAGATATGAAAGATGCAGATATTTTGGACCAGTATGAAATGAACATGGCTGATGGAAATATAACACCTGACGTTCTAGAACATTTATCTCAAAGAACTACACAGAACCATAAGATGGTATATTTGGTGAAGAGTTTAGAAAGAAAGTTAGGGAGAGAGAAGGAAGAGAACCTATTGTACATGACCTTGCAAACGAAAGTTTGCAAAATGTCATAAAAACTTACTTTGCAGACAATGAACGAGAAGGGATGAATATTTAAGAAAACTCAAATGGACAGTACCAAATGAAATGTTAGTATTGAAAAACATGTTCCTTGACAAAATAAAACCAACTACAGAAATAAATGACGCAAGACTGAAACGTTGGGTAAAAGCTTTCCCATTCACAAAAGATATTGTTGGTAACATGGAAAGAAAACCAGAATGGCTACAAAAACATATATTTGGAAACGAGCTTATTCCATATGGACAAGCTCTGTTTGAAGAGCTTGAACCGGAAACTCAGGAAAGAGTCATGCAAACAATACGCGAAGACTCAAATACAAACTATGACAAAATCTTTCTAGGATATAGGATACCTGAGATGGGCGACCAGAGCCTAAAGGCAAAAAGGACATGGGAAATTTACAACATACTAGGTGAACATGAGGCAAAGATGCTACAACTTGAAGCAGAGGGCAAGTTACCAAAAGCGACACCAAAGAAGAAGAGAAGAGTAGAACAAAGTGAAAGTAGTGAAGAAGTAACTTCATCTAGTGAAAGTAGTGGCAATGAAGGAAAAAGAAGAGTTAAAAACTCAGCCAGGAAGAAAGTAAAGCTTGGTCCATGTGGGTTCTATTATGACAAATAAATCCAACTATTCTATATTTTTACCCATATGAAATGTACGCCGCTCAGAATATAACGCCAACAGTTTTGGATGCCATGAATGGAAATGTTTCCGAATGGTATAACGAATGCGACAATGCCATTAGAAGGTCAGAAATAGTTCCTGGAACTTACGAATATACAACTGCTGTTTCTTATGGAAATGTAGGTGAGTTTGGAGAAGGTTCTTCAACAACAGTAGATATTGCTTGCGACAGGTTTCATATAATTTCTATTGACAACTCATTCTTATACGTGGAACAAGACATTGAAATAAAACCTTCTGCCAAGTTGTCTGACAAGAAAGGTTGCAATGGAATTTTCTATGTCGGATACCAATATGCTCCAGAAGTTTTCATGGGATATAAGATATATTCTAACTCTGACTTAGTTCAAACAGTAACATGGGCAAACTATGAATGGTTCGCTTTGAGAAACTCAGTACAACCACAAGCTAGAGAACAAACAGACCAATATGCAACTATTGAGAAAATAAGAAGACTTGACCCTAACGTTCCAGGAGTTTATGTTGACCTTTCTGGACAAACTGCAGCAGCAGTAACCAAAGTAAAACTGAAACTTAGAGTTCCTTTGTCATCTTTCCTCATCTTCAGGTTTTTAAGATACTTGCCAAACTGGGCAGGAAAAATTTCTATCGAACTTACTCCAAGCAAAAATAACTTAGTCATTGCACCAACACAAGACCCATTCACTCTTACAGACGTAAAGGGAGCAAATCAAACGTCATTCGCCGAATTTTGCAAAGACAAAGTTGACTTAGACTTTGGTTTCTCAAACCTCAACACTGAAGTAAACTATTATTTCAATGCTGCTGGAACTGCTTGGGACCCAGTTAATTTACATGCGAAAAATTTGAATGCAAGAGAATAGAAAGCAGACTTGCAGTCTATATGTTGGACCCAGATATTTCAAATGCTTTAGCTGCCAAATATATTGCAGTTCCACTTATGTTCCCTATACACCAAATATCTGTCAAAGACTTTGCAGGTGAAGTTGGAAACCAAAGTGCTGACCCAGGTGCAAGAACAGATATTGCTTTAACAACTGCAATGAAACATGCAGATACTATGTTTGTTCTTTTCAGACGAACTATAAATGACTATTCTTGTTTCTACAACCCCGGTATTAAATATCATATAAACATAGATGGCAAATATTATCCAAGAGAAGAATATTCTACAGTTGAGGATATGAGGTCATACAACTTGACATTAGATGCTATGAACTTTAACAACAACTTCACAACAACCATTAACCCTGAAATGCAAAGTTCTATTATGCCATATGTGAAAGTATGGACTCATACAGGAGGTCAAAAAACTCAATATACAAATGGAGACCGTTCAAACTTTTGGCTTGGCATTCCATTTGCTGACTCAGAAGACTTTATGGGTGGTATTTCAACTGTTGGTACTGTACAAATACAATATACTGGTGACAGAGACGGTCCAGATGAATTGAAAGCAAAGAAGTTTACAAAACCAATAGCACTTTTCACGGAAGATGCTCTTTTGAAGATTCGTTCGATGAAACCTGCTGGGGCTCCTCAGATTGGCATAACGACAGCTTCCATCGAGCAGATTTTGGCAGCAGGTCAGTAAGTTGTTCTTGAACTGACTTCTCTCCGTCAAATATTGACAGTACGCCAGTTTTGACATAAAATTGTATTATAAACTTACCTTTAGAAATATCTGTAAGTTTTGTTGTTATATTTTTGTCTGCTTCAAGAACTTTCACCATTTCAGTTATACCAACTTTCTTTGCTTTATGAAAATATTTTGGTTCAGCAAAGACTGCTATTCTATAACATTTACCATTGTTTGTATAAAGAACTATTCTGTCAATGTATTTGTATTGTTTGTGTGTGTAAACTTTGTTTTGCTTCAATTCGAAGAGATATCCGAATACGTCCATCTTTTTATTCTAAGTAAAATGTCATTTCCGAAAAATAGAAGCGTAAGTGTTTCAAAAGGTTTAATGGCGGTGGCAGATGTGAAGTTAAATTCACCAACTCAAACAAACAGTCAAAGTGTTATTGTCAATGTCAAAGAAAGAGATGTTGAAGTGGGGAAACCATACGAAGACGAAGATGGTATAACAATTGTTCCTGTAAAAGAACAACCAACATACCCTGAAGTTAGCAGAGACTTAAGTTCTGTTGCAGATATTCGAAACGACTACCAACAACTGAAAGACAAACTTCAAACTCAGGAGAAGATTTGTCAAGCTTTAGGTATAATGTTAAACTTGGTCGAACACAACCCTGTAAAAGTGAACTCATATGTCATTGCACCTCATGAAGTTTTGAAAGAACTATTGAAACTTTTGACAGAGGCAGACGATATAAACATCAAAGAAATAGAACCCGACGTTAGTTGTTGTGGTGTTTCATATAATGTCATTGACAAGATATACGTTATGAAAGGGTGAAACGTTGAACTTAAAATATAGTTTCCCAGACGTTATAAAAATATTTGACGACCACAACATTTCATTAAAATTTATTTGCTAAAAATGGCAGAAGACACAATGGTTTATACTATTACGACTAAAAACCCTGAGTCATATAATTCTATAACAACAAACTTACAAAGTCCTCAAGGACGATATTGTAAACTAACCTTAAACACAATGACGACTAAAGCTTGTTTTGCTCTTTTGACACCAGAAGATTTTATTGTTGTGAATGGTAAAAAATACTCCTTTGAAGATACTTACTCAGATATACCACCAACAGGTTTTGTTGACTTATTTAATACTTTAAGGACGAGTGTAACATGTGCTGCAACTAGAGCAGGTTTCATTATGTTTGGATGTCCGACTGAGTTTACTATAAACAATATGAGCTATAATACAAAACTTATATCTGGTTTTTACTACCAACAGTTTCCTATAACAGGAAAAGGTGTCATACAAGGAATGTCTGTTCCATTGACTTTAAGTACACCTATTTTATATATTGTTTCAAACTTAGGTTCAAAGTGTTATTCGAATGTCGACAGAAACTACTATGACCAAAAGATACTTATGCGTATAAACAACACTTTCTCTGCTGGTTTGCCTATTGTTCATTCGAATGCAGAGTTTTCAGCTTTAGTAAACTCAAACACTTTAGCAAACATAAACTTAACCTTAGTTGACGCAAACTTTGTTCCTGTAAAACTTTTATGTCCTATGTATTTGTCAATGACGGCAGAAAGTTTCGAATTGGAAGATGCAACTGGTGAAAGTATTGTATTACAAGAACAACTTCAACAACAAATAGCTCAAGAACAACAAATAGCTCAAGAACAACAAATGCAACAAATAGCTCAAGAATAAAAAAAATATTTTTTTTATTTTTATAAAAATGTACAGAATAGATGTTTCAGATTTTTATGACTTCCAAGCATTCAGAAATATGTGTCCATTTCGAGACTATAACAAAGCAGTCGAGAATTTGAAACGTTTAGTCATTTATGTCGACTCTGCCCCAGAATGTTATGTTATGAAAGAATGGGATGTAGTCTTTAACAAACCAAGAGCAACAATAGTTTCAGAACAAGAATGTAAACAGAAACTTAAGAAAATAAAAGTTGTACAAGTTGGCATGAAGATGTTAGATGCTTGGGATATCTTATTGTCAAAGTTAGAAGATTTTTCAGTTCGAGGTATAAAGTTCTATACACCTTCTCCAAACTTCTATTCTATCTTCACTGGATATAAATACGAACAAGTAGAATGGAAAGAAAATATTATAGAAGCTTGGTTAGACCATGTCAAAGAAATTATATGCAATGGAAACGAAAGAGTCTATGAGTATATCTTATGTTGGTTTGCAAACATCTTACAACATCCAAGTGCTAAAAATGAAACTGCTCTCATTATAATTGGAAAACAAGGAACAGGTAAGAACACATTCTTTACAGATATTTTGTGCAAACTGTTAGAAGGTTATTCGAATCCGAATATGACAAACTTAGAAAACATCTGCGGTAAATTTAACTCTTCAATAGAGAATATGAAACTTATAGTTGTAACGAACTTCAAAGTATAGATACAACAAAAGTTTTAAACTCAGATGCTTTGAAGAGTCTTATAACAGACAAAGTTGGAGTTGTTGAAAGAAAATATAAAGACCAAAGAGTTTGTGAAAATGTTGCAAATTTCATTATGGTTTCAAACAATGCTGTTCCGATGAAGTTAGAAAGTTCTGACAGAAGATATGTAGTTGTCAGAACGTCAGATTCTCATATGCAAGATACAGAATATTTTGACGACTTAGCAGAAACTTTGACATCTGACTTTTACAACCACTTGTTCTCATATTTCATGACATTAGATATTTCAAAGTTCAATCCAAGACAAATTCCACATACCGAAGAGAGACAAACATTGTTAGAAGCAAACAAGAGTGTATATGAACTGTTCATAGATGAAACTGACTTTGAGTGTTTAGATGAAAGGTCATTGTACGACTCGTATAAACAATATTGTCAAGAGTATGGTTATATGACAGCGTCTAAACGAACATTCTTGGCAAATGTCAAAAGTCTTTTAGATGTTCAGAATGGTGTATATACAAAGAAAAATTTTTCTGAGTAAATTTTAAAAAAAATATTTTTTTTATCCGATAGAAAAGATGACAAAATTCATCTCAGTAAACAAGTACATGTCAGGACTTAAAGAAGAACTAGACCCATTCACATATTTGAATGTTTACTTCTACCATTTTGAAAAGTCTTCATTCAGCAAAGTTTGGAACATCGAACCAGTTAAGTTTGCTATTGTGACTAAAAATGGTGCGAAATTTGAAGACTTAGACATAGAAGGTTTGTTAGCAGTCAAAGAAAGTTTTGACAGAAGGTTCTCAAAACTCGAAGAAGGTAAAGCATACAAACTTGTTATACCTTATGAACCAAAGAAAGCAGACGACTATGAATATTATGAGTCTAAAGTTGTAGAAGTTCAAGGTAAATTGGGTAAAAAGATTTTAGAGTCTAAGCCAGTGTTTGCTCCTAAAGAGGAAGAGAACATTGACATTGACCCAGAAATGTTCTAAAAATAAAATTTTATTTTTACATGTCAAATTTCTTCTTCTCTGGTTCAGGTTCTTTCTTCTCTTCTTCTACTTTCTTTTCTTTCTTTTCTCTCTTCTTCTTTTCTGGTGGAGTTATGTCAAACTTCTCAGAACCATATTTTTGTAAAAGTTCTTTGTCCTTTAATAGCTCTTCTATTCTGTTTTCTATTTCATCTTCAAGAACAGTGCATGTGTCTTCTTTGCATTCTAAGAAGTTTTGTTGGACTTCATCTCTCCAAGAGGCGTCATCTCTGTCAACAAGTCTGTCATTGACAAATTTTAAGACTTCTCTGCTTAATGTTTTATGGTTCTTGTCATATTCCCAGAAACAGAACTTTAGAACAAATTCACCTTTCTTGTTTACACTATGTAAGATTTTATGGTCGACAGATGTTTTGCTGTCGAAAAGCTTGTCTCGAATATAGATGGCGAAATCGCTAGACATTTTCTAAAAGATAAAAATTTTAATTTTTCTAAAAATATGTTAGAAAAAAAGTTTGCTGACATTGACAAAAAATTTGAGAATGTTTTAAACAAGAACAAGAGGAAGTTGGAAAATGCTCAGATAAAACCCATACATGACAAGTTCTTATTTGCTCAGAATGGTATAACAGGTCTAATTGCACCACCTGGGTCGGGTAAGACTTTCACTTATCTTAAAATGGCTGCACAACAACAAGAACTAGATGAGAAGAACCCATTCTATGAGTTAGTTGTCATTTGTAGTACTTCTGGTCAATTTGACCAAACCGTCAATTCGTTCAAAGATATTATAAAGAAGTCTAAGTTAGTATGTATAAAAGACTCTGAGTTGTTAGATTGGATAAAGAAGTACCAAAGAAGAGTTTTGAAGTACAATGCTATAAATGAGTATATAAATTCGAAGTTTAAAGACCCAAATGAGGAAATGCAGAGAATATTAGAGAAGAAACACTTCAGAAACAAACAGAAAGAGATAGAATACATTTCGAAGAAATTGCAATCTTACGATTGGAAGACTTACCCTCACAGATGTCTTCTTATCTTAGATGATTTCGCCTCTCATCCTTTGTTAAAGAATAGAGAACAAGACATGTGTCGAATTCTTAAGAAGCTCAGACACTTTAACATTTCAGTTGTCATTTGTGTACAGACAGCAAAGAGTTTAAGTAAGGATGTAAAGAGAATACTTACTGACATTGTACTTTTCCCCGGATTGTCCGAAGACGATTTCATGGAACTTATGAAAGAGTCCATGGCAGGTAAGTTTGACAGACATGAACTATGGGAGAAGTACAAAGTCATACAAGACCCTCATACTTCTTTCAGAATTCACATCTACGCAAACAAAGTTCAAATTGTAAAAAGTCAAGCGTAAAAAATGTAAGTGTTTAGTCTTAGTCTGTTGTGGTGCTGCAGCTTTCGGTTCTTCTGGCTTTGGAATGGACTCGGTTGGTGGTACGTCGGACATTCGTTTGTGTCCTGTCGGAAGGAAGAACTTTTCCTGTTGGATGGAAGAACTTTTCCAGTTGTCGGGAAATTTTTTTCCAGTTGTCGGGAAATTTTTTTCCTGTCTGAAGGAAAAATTTTTTCTGTCGTTCGACCAAAAAGTTCTCAATTTTCGAAAATTTGAATGGTTTACGGACGAACAACAGGAAATTTTTTTCCAGTTGTCAGGAAATTTTTTTCCAGTTGTCGGGAAATTTTTTTCCTGTTGTCGGGAAATTTTTTTCTTGTTGGAAGGAAGGACTTGGAATGTCGGATGGAAGGACTCGGAATGCCAGAAGGATTTGACAAGACAATTGACCTTATAGAGCTACCTGAGCCATCTGAAGTCAAGACCAAAAATAAATGGTTCATCTACTCTACTTGTTTGAAGTTGTCAAAATACTCTGTTATTTTTTCTTTCAGTAGCGGCAAATCTTCTTTGAAGGTAAGTATTGTACAACCTTTAATATCATAGTGTGTTTGAGGTAACGTATCTTGAACTATTTGTTTCACATCTTCATTTGGTGTCATTGAAATCGGTAAGTTTTCGCGATAGAACCAATTTCTGTCAGATTTGTAAATCTTAGCAAGGTCGTAAAAGCTTTTGTTGTTTCTTCTGACTAAATGCAACATAACCATATCTCTGTCTTCTTCTTTCTCCATCTCTTCAGTATAAATCATATACTTATAGTTCTTTTCCTTTCCTTTTGGTACCGAACGTGGTATTCTTTTCTGAAGGCTTTTGTCTTTTGCTTCAAGCTTGTTTTCCATCTCTTCACGTTCTTGTCTATGAATTTCATCTAACATCATGAAAATATACCAAGCATAACGAGGTGAAGCCCACATTGCAACAGCATTTACAAGAAGTCTATGTACATACCAACCTCTCAAACCATTTGGCAAATTTTTACGATTTTCATAGAGTTTTGGCGACCCCGGAAAAAGTCGGGGTCGCTGTGCTTCGCTCAAAAGTTCTTTTGTCTGTTGGTTTTTGAACCAATCGTCTGTATGTTTGGTATCTGGAGCAAAACATGCTGTCAAAATACTTTGCATTTGGTACATATCGTCTTTGACCGAACGAATGAGACGTAACTGTTTGTTAAACTGAACCCACTCGTATTCTTCATTTATGTCTTCATGAACGATAGCAGTTGTTGTGTTCTCTGTTGTTGACATATCTGTCCTTACATACAAAATAAAAAAAATATTTTATAAAAAATTAGCGTTATTTCCTGACTTTCACAAAAGACCAAAAATAAACGCTTTACATGTATTTTTCAGCAACTTCGTCAAATAATTTTATAGCTTTACCTATCTCATCTACTTCAAACGTTTCTTTACCTTTCGTGGGAGCACCATACATTTTCTCAAACTTTTCAAGTAGTTCTGTTTCAGCAGCTCTCATATCGTTAACGAACACAACCTTAACTCTATTGACTATACTGTCATATCTTTTAGTTATATTATATGTTCTTCCTATCTTATATCTTTTTGTATTGAAGTCCTTCGGTTTCTGAACGATGTAAAGTAAGCCCTCACTGCAACGTTCAGTATCGAATGAACCATATGTTATGAAGTTATATCCAACAACTGGGTCAATCCATAACAAAACTATTGGTTAAGACTTTTGTCTATAAGATATGCTCTTGTTCCATGAAATGCTACTGATATCATAAGCTCAGGATTTCTTGTCAAAATTTTCTGACTAGAAGCAATTCTAACCCAGTCGATTGCTCTCTTTCCAGATGGAGATAAAATGTCTGACAAAGAATATTCTTGTATTTCTTTGAGTATCTTACGTTTAAATCACCAATTCTAACCACTTTGGTGTCATTGTCTATCTTTCTAACTATTTCAAACTCAGTGTTTGTCATTTTCTGTTTCTTACATACAAAATAAAAAAATTTTTTTTTAAAAAACTAACTTTATTTTTTCTATTTTGTATCTTAAGGAAATTCATGAAATTTGGTCATTTTTTTACGATTTTCATGAGTTTTATGCAAGACCAAAAAAAGTCTAAATCGCAATTTTTTACGATTTTCATGTATAAAAGATATGATTTCAGGGATTTTTTTACGAAGTGTCAAAGTTCTCTTGGTAAAAAAATAACAGTTATATAATGAAATTTGGTCATTTTTTTCACGATTTTAGGGATTTTTTTGACGAAGTGTTAAAGTTCTCTTGGTAAAAAAATAACAGTTATATAATGAAATTTGGTCATTTTTTCACGATTTTCATGAGTTTTAGGCGACCAGGTTTTTTTCCCTACTCGCAATTTTTTACGATTTTCATGTATAAAAGATATGATTTCAGGGATTTTTTTGACGAAGTGTCAAAGTTCTCTTCGTAAAAAAATAACAGTTATATAATGAAATTTGGTCATTTTTTCACGATTTCAGGGATTTTTTTGACGAAGTGTTAAAGTTCTCTTGGTAAAAAAATAACAGTTATATAATGAAATTTGGTCATTTTTTCACGATTTTCATGAGTTTTATGCAAGACCAAAAAAAGTCTAAATCGCAATTTTTTTTCATTTATCTTGTATAAAAGATATGATTTCAGGGATTTTTTTACGAAGTGTTAAAGTTCTCTTCGTAAAAAAATAACAGTTATATAATGAAATTTGGTCATTTTTTTCACGATTTTAGGGTAGATGGTTTTTAGGTGTCACCAGGTCACTCGGTCAACTAACATCTTTTTGAAAATGGTGACAACATGACATTTTGACAACAGTCCAGGAAATAAACTTCTTCGTATATGTTTCACAAGCGTTTTACATGGTATATGTTGTGATGGTTCATGACTTTAAACAGTTTTGTAGCTTCTATTTCTTCTGTCAGTATGTCAAAAGTTTTAACTATGCCGAAGGTTTCTTTATATTTCTTCTTGACATCAGATAGAAGGAAATCGTCAGCAGTTGGATAGTTTTTGTTCAGAAATTCTAACATGTCCATTTTGTTTTCTGCTGGCTTTTCTACTTCTTTCTTTAAGTCAGCATAGTCGTTTCTCATACGTTCTATCTCTTTGACGGAGTAGTTATATTTCTTCATTGCTGCTTTACATTTTGAACATTGTGGGTTCATTTTAGCATTGTACATTGAAACCTTACCTGCTAAAACAACTAAGGCGTAAATGGTTTTCTTTAACTCAAAAGTTGCGGGTTTTATTTGTCCGTTCCATACTTTACCTCTTCTATCTTTATCTCTTATCTGCCATACACATTTTGCAACTAACGAAACAAAGTTGTCGTAGGTCTTAAATTCTTCAGATTTATATATGTCAATGAAATATACCATGTCGCAATCTTTGTCCATGACTTTGTGGTTGCAATGAAATCCAAGAAACTCATAGTTTACCTTACGAATGAACTTCTTTATTTCTACCGAGTCAGTTGGTTTCACTTCTATTTCATCGAATTCAGGAATAGTGAGCTTTTGTTGTTGTATTTCAGGAAGTTTAGGTAGATGTTCCACCAGGTCCTGCATTTCATAAAGATACTGTTCATTTGTTTCATCTTTCGCACTACAGTCTAAATCTCCTTGGAGAAGTTCTTGCTTTATCTTCTGGATTTCTGTTTCGAAAGTATATGAAGAAGGAATGAAGCTTTTCATCTCTACTAACATAGATGTTGGATTCATGACTAAAGAGTTTGGTGAAGTTGTTGCTAACATGTTCTTACAATAAAAATAAAAATATTTTTTAAAAAAACTAACTTTATTTTTTATGTTTTTTGTGAAAGTGTCAAAATTCATGAGTTTTGGTTGAAAAATACGGTGGAGCCAAAAGTGGCTCGACCTCAAAACAAGCATTTTGTGAAGAATATACCAACCGCCAGAATTTCGACGGTTGCTTTTTATACAAAATTCAACGGGTGAAAGAATACGAAGATGAAGTCATGACAAAACATGTACGATGAAGTCTTGACAAAACATATACGATGAAGTCTTGACAAAACATGTACGATGAAGTCATGACAAAACATTTACGAAGAAGTCTTGACAAAACATTTACGATGAAGTCATGACAAAACATTTACGATGAAGTCTTGACAAAACATTTACGATGAAGTCATGACAAAACATTTACGATGAAGTCTTGACAAAACATTTACGAAGAAGTCTTGACAAAACATTTACGATGAAGTCATGACAAAACAAGCATTTTGTGAAGAATATACCAACCGCCGGAAAACAGCGGGTTGCTTTTTATACAAAATTCAACGGGTGACAAAACATATACGAAGAAGTCATGACAAAACATGTACGAAGAAGTCTTGACAAAACATGTACGATGAAGAAGTCTTGACATTTTCCTGGACTGTTGTCAAAATGTCATGTTGTCACACTTTTTCAGAGAAGTTAAAATGACCGAGGGACCGAGGGACCGAGGGACCTGGTGACACCTTCAGTTCTTCAAAACATTTACGAAGAAGTCTTGACAAAACATATACGAAGATGAAGTCATGACAAAACATATACGAAGAAGTCATGACAAAACATTTACGATGAAGAAGTCTTGACATTTTCCTGGACTGTTGTCAAAATGTCATGTTGTCACACTTTTTCAGAGAAGTTAAAATGACCGAGGGACCGAGGGACCGAGGGACCTGGTGACACCTAAAAACCTTCTACCCTAAAAGTATTTTTCAATACTTTTTCAGCACTTTTCCGTAGTTGTATATGAAAGACAATTCGAGATAAAAGTCATAGTACAATGGTATTATATGCTGCACACCATTTGTTGTGAACCAAACTTGAAAGTCAGAGAAACTGTTACTAGGTGGTTCGTAGAATTTAGAAGCAAAGTCATAAACGTCCTTACCAATACATAGAAAACTATTGTTGCTTGAACTGAAACTTGCATGACACATAACATTTTGAGGGTCAAACACATTTCTATAAACTGTCAAATCTGCTGGTGGATGTATAAATTTAAATGGACCATCTGGTGGTAATGGTTCGTTCTGGTTTAGTAACCGAAGAAATTGTGCCCAAGAACGTTTGTCTACTTTCCAAAATAAAAACTCTGTATCTCTTGGAGGGTTAATTTCAATCTTTTGAAATGAAACGGTGGAGTTCATCTTGTCATATTCTAGTTTCAGATAGTATGTTCCATTTAGTAAAGAGGCGTATTTTTCTTGAAATTCCCAATAGTATTTGTTCATTTGAGTTTGAAAGTCATTTAGAGTTTTCTCAAGACTTTCGTCTGAACGAACTGTAAAGATCCTCATTTCATCAAATTTGTCTATTAGACCATCAGAACTTTTATACTGCCCATGAAAATATACTGCGAACATAAATGCGTTAGTTCTATTTGAAAACAAAACTCTTCTAAATCCTATTGCCTTTGCATCTGAAGGACTTTGAAGCCAACGAATTGGATAGTCAAACCTGTAAGCTCGGATGAAATTTCTTCATCTGAAATAGTCCTACCAGCATTTGTAAAGATATAGTCTCTAACGGTTTTTGTATCTGCTACTTTTGTTCTTTGTTTTTCAACCTGAAGCATTTAATATATGTAAAAATATATGGTTTTAAAAACGTTTTTACTTCATATTTCTCATCTAACAAACATGTTGTCTGACTGCTTGAGGGTTAGGTTGGTACCATTCGAACTTGACACTTGCAATTCCTTCAATTGCATTCAAAATGTCTGAGTCGGAGTCAGCCATTTGTTCTCTCTTTGTAGTCTTGAAAGCGTCAAGAAGTTTTGCGGCTGTTTGTTCATTGCCATGTGCATAGTAAATGTGACCATCCAAATCTGGTATGGTTAATCTGAGATTGCGTCCTTTCTTATTTCCGTCATGAATTGCAGCAAGTACACCCATGAAGCCTTCTTTGTTCTTTCCTTCGTCAAAGTTTACTGTAAAGGTTCGACCAGATGTAATTTGACTTCTAACTTCACGGTACTTCTCATATGCATATCTTGTTCTTTCCATGGGAGCATGTGTGTCTTCACCTTTTCCTTTTTTCCTTCTCAAAGGATGCAATTGTTCGTCATGTTTCCAGTAGAATCTGGCAAAGCCGTCGTGTCCTTCAACTTGAGGTTCACTAACATCGAAAGGCATGTCCATAAGACGTTCTTCTTCTAACCTCTCTAGTCTGTTTGGATAATTGGCACGTGCTGTTTCCAAATCCATTTCGTAGCGAAGACCAGACAATTTGTCATAGACTTTTATGGGTCTTCCCTTCCTATATTTAAACTTCTTCGAAACTCTCCAACCATATCTTTGCAACTCTGCTTTTATTCTAGCAGATTTTCTATCCATTCTATATGGGAGCATTTTTATAAAAATAAAAAATTTTTTTTCTTTACTTTACATAACCGCCTGCTGCCATAAGTCTTTGACGCCAACCCATACCAGCTAATGAAGGTTGACTTGGTTTAGTTTGGAAACTAAACTTTGGTTTTGGTTTATCTTCAGTTTTTGGTTTTTCTTTCTTCTATCGGTTTTTCGTCACTTTTCGGTTCCTCTGACTTTACTTCACTTGCAGGAACAGTTGTGTCGTCAACATCTTCATAAATATCATATGCCATTTGTTTTTGTTTTTCCTTTCAACTTTTTGTGTTGTTGTAAAGTTTTAGAATATTTCGACTCTAAGTCAATGAGATGTTCTATAATGAATGTTGGTCAGTGAAGTAAACTTTTCCATCTGTTGTCTCGAAAGCTCCTTCAGACTTCAATATTTATTTGTGAGAGTCTGTTTCTTTTTGAGATACTAGCCGTTCCATTTTTATGAAAAGTGACTTTGTAGTTAGGGTTTGTATTTCCAGACCTGGCACTTTTCTATTATTGAATTTTTCTCTTCATCTGTAAGTTCTTTGACAGGTTTTGACAATGGTTCTGAACTTTTTGTTTGTGGTGTCAAATCTACCGTTTCAACTTCTTCGGTCATTTCATCTCAGTAAAAAATTTTAGTTTGGTTTGTTTTCAACTGGTTGTTGTTGTTTTTTAAGTCGGTCTAAAACTTCCTGAGGTATAGGAAGAACTTGACAAACACGTTGTGTAACTGCTGGAAGCCGACAAATCCATCTTGGAACCCATTTGTCTCAATGCTGTATTGTTCATTTCATCTCAATAAAAAAACTTTACATTCCCCACGTTTGAGGCGGTTGAGGTTGGTTATTGTTTACCCATTGTTGTGCATGGTTATATCCTCTGTTAAAGAATCTTTCACCTTGGTCCATATAGTGTCCCTGCTTGGTTATAGTAGTCATTTGCTTTGTTATAATAGTTTCCTGCTTGTCTTCCTACATTGTCCATCCATCCTTGAACTTTTCCTCTTGTTTCAGGATTTGGAATAAGATTTGTTGCATCTCGTGCTACCCCCAACCTTTCTGTACAGTTTGTATAATAGGTTGTGCTTTCTCTTTCAGTATACTAATGTACTCAAAATCTTCCTTCCAACTCCAAATACACCTCTGGCTATTGTTCCCACTCGGGGCAAAAATCTGGATGCAACTCCTGCTAATGCGCCAAATAAACCCATTTCTTATGGGTTAAAAAATGACGAATCCAAACAAGGACCCCTATGTTTCTAAGGCAACAAAAAAAGCACTCATGGTAAAAATCTTTAGTTCACACACACAAATGCTTGGTTTAATGGATATCTTGGAAAACATTCCGAGGTATAGAGAAGATGGACACCATACTGGCTAATATTTGTCGGTCAAAACACAAGATACTGTGAAGCCATACCATTACAGTCCAAAAAATATTTTAGATATCTTAGCAGCTTTGACAATATTTGTTGACAAATACCATCCAACAAAACTGACATCTGACTGTGAAAGTTCTTTCAAATCAGACGATATTAAAAACTATCTGCGTTCAAAAATAATGTAAACCAATATTTTCATTGTCGACCAAAACCATTCTGCTCTTGGTTCATTGACGTTGTATAAAAATGTTAAGAGACTTAAACCAACCACAAGGTGGTGAAGCAAATGAAATGTCATATGACGACAAATATAGACACTTTCCATGGCAAAGATGAGACAAGTTTTAAAATTTTACAATAACCGTAAAAAAAAAGGTTTGGGAAACCACTCCCCGAAGAAATGAAAAACAACCCTGACTTAGAGAAAGACTATATATTTAATAATTTAGTCAAAAGAGACAAACAAGAAAGAATGCCGGGCTTCAAACTTCAGAAAAGGTGACAAAGTAAAAATAGAAATACTAAACGCGACCCATATGAAAATACTATTACTATGACAACAATGGGAACCCGACAGGTACTCACATTCGTGTTCGTAAAAATAGAAGAAAGTATACAAGAGAATATTATGAAGTTTTAGCAAACATGGCAATAATGTACAGACTGCAAGCAGAAGATAAAACTACTATTGTCAGACCTCGTTTCAAACTTGTCAAAGTTCAAGGTGGTATACTTTCAAAGACAGTTCCTAACAAATATAAGACAACTCCTGACGAATATGCTAAAGAAGTTGAAAATGACGACTAAGCATTTCTATACCATGCGTAAACTGTCATGTAAGGTGGCATGTAGTCTTTACTTTGTCCCGTTGTTTGCGTATACCCTGAAACGCGATGTGTATGGTTCCATCTCCCTGAGTGTTACCCCAGAAACAATTTATAGCAAACTGAACTTCGTCTTTAACATCATATCCTTTACTTTTTTCATTGCTGACCAATCCCAAAATCTATGCTTTATGCCAACCTGCTTGAGATGTACTTAAACTATGTAGTGACTGTGTGCAGGTAAGTTTTCACCTGAAATCGTTTTACTTCCACCTGTTTCCTTTGAAGAGTTTGCACAATACAAAAACCTGTCGACTATTTGAGTCCAAGTTCCAAAACCAAGTACTACTTCTGGTCTGGTAGAGTTCATTGACGTATAAATAGAGCCAACCGGGTAAATAAGATTCGGCAAAATTTGTTTAAGCACATGAGTTCCTGTCTTAGATGTATAATACTATTGTCATTAGATATCAAAGTATCTACAAGACTTGTTGCCGTGTGGTATTGTTGGAGCTTTACTTGGCAAGGTTGTGTTTAGTGTAATATCATCTGCTGTAAAAGTTGTAAAACTTGTATGTGTATGGTTCTTGTCTGCTTTCTTCTCATATAAATCTTGAGCAGTGAATTTAATATTATGTTCATCCTTCATGACATAAACATCTTTACATCTAATGTTTCTCATCGTCGTTATGTCGTCATCCGATGTTAAACCTTGTGGAAAGTTTAGGAGGTTTCCAATATAATACATCCCCATCAGGTTCTTCAACCGTTCCTTCAATACTTTCTATACCAACAGTTGTGAAGAATTCATGTGTATGGTTCTTATCTGCTTTCTTCTCTAACTCATCGTTAACATATGTTTTATCTGCTTTAAGGTCTAAAACATCCTGAAACCCATCCTGTATCGGCTTTACTTTTAAAATCTTCGATGTCCATTCATGGTACCAGTCAACCCTTTCTTCATTTCGTTATCTTTTTCATCCACATATTCCTTATCTGCTTTCTCTCTAAACTTACTAGCCACACATGCTAACTCATCGTTAACATATGTTTTTATCTGCTTTCTTTCAAGGCTAACGTTTAAGTCTGTTATTTCAGATATAGAATGTGTATGTCCAACGTCACTTTTCCTGTTTAAGGTTTCTTGTAAGTTTGCAATATTTGCAATGGTATGTGTATGAGTCTTTTTTAGAATATTCGTTTTCAGCTCTTGTCACTTCACTTGACATTTTTATTGTCAACATATGTTTTGTCTGCTAGTTCAGGATGAGTATGTTCTTTTGTTGCATAAGCTTTGTCAGCTCTTTCTTCTTCTTTTGCTATTGCATCGTCTACATATGTTTTGTCTGCTTTGTTGTCAACATCTGCTTTCAAAGAAGTTCTTTTATAGGTTTCTCGTTTAAAGTTCCTTTTGTTGATTATACAGACAGTATGGTTCTTATTGTCTTGAAATAGAAACTCATCTGTCATTGGGTTTAATGTCAGTTTTAAGTTTCCTTCTTTCAATGACTCAGATATCTTAGAATAGTTTGAAAAGTTTGTTGTGTTCTTATTTAGAGCTTGTATAATGAGTTGTCGGTTGTGTTGTATTTCTCTCATAGACGCTGTTTCATTTGACATTTTTATTCTAGATAAAATATGCTTTCAATAGAAAAAGAAAATTCAAGAGTTGCTACAACTAAACCATTAGATGAACTTTTTACTAATGTCGTCAAAGTTTGAGACAGAGACCGTAAAAGCATGAAGGCTATCGTTTTGACTACCCGTTAAGATGGTTAAGAGACCCATCTGTCACAAAAGCTATTGGCTTTCGTAGAATGAAGTTCATTTCAGAAGTACATGGTTTCATTTACAGTCGGTTTTGAAGTTCGATACTAAACAAAGAAAAAACGTATGTATGAGAAATTTGAAAGGGAAAACTTTTACAAGTGAATTTGCTTGTAAACTTAGAAACAACTCTTCAAGCTTTTCAAGAAAAAAATAAACGACATCTATATCGAATATGCAAACCAGTATAACATTGACGAGGGAGAGTACCATCTCGATATTATATATGACAGGAAAAATGCAACTGTTAAAATCAATAGAATAGAAGACCTTGGAGAAAACGTTTATATTTCTACAAAAATATAACAACTTGGCATGGTATAGATTTCTGAGGATGTTAAAATCAGCCTGCAGATATCCAGTACACCCGGACTTTTGATTAATGGAACATATGAAAATGTTTTGACAAGATGCTGTCATGCTCATTTTCTGGTGCACAAAACTCTTTTTTATGCTTGGCAAATGACTTTTACGAAAACCTACAAAGTTATATGAACCGCCGAGTGGAAGTATTTCAGACTTTCAAGTATGGTTTACAACAGATGGAAGAAAGAGAATAGTTCCATTATACCATGCGTTTTACTTAGAACTTAGTTTCATATACAACTACTATCGAACGGTAAAAATATAATTTTTTAATACGGTTGAGGTGTTGGATTTGGTTGCCAACTTGACTGTGGTGCAGGTTCAGGCTGTTGTATAACAGGAGCTTGTTCTTCTGGTTCAGGGTCTTTAGGTATAATACCAACAAACTGACCTACTCTTTTACCAATATTTTTGACTCCGTTCCAAATTCCTCTTCCTACGGTTTTTATTCCATTCCATATACCTCTTCCAACTCTTCTGAAGAAGTTTCCAATACTACTGAAGAAACCCATTTTACTATATGTAAAAATCTAATGTCCGCCTAGTCTCTTACGTTTCCTGTTGAGTTCCATAGCATTCTTTAACTGGAGCTCATACATTCTGTTTCTCCTCTGGTAGAAAACATATTCTGGGTCAACTCCTGTGTTCGCGTCATCTGCATAAAGTTGTTTATATCCCACTTCAGGGTTTGTATAAAACTCTTTCCATCTCATATTTGCATACCATGGTGGCAAACCTAACGCAGCGTCATTTGACATGGCAGTTTGCATTTGTACATCTGTTGGCACTTGACCATAGTTTGCCATTGCGGTTTGTATTCTAACTTCATTTGGAATATTCTCTGGGTTTGGTTGTCCAGGTTGCTGTGCATTCGCTAAGTTCTGTGCGTCCATTTAATATTAGATAAAAATATCTCTTACGAGTACATATACTGGACATTTGCAGGCATTGGTTCATCTTCATATTCTCTATATCTTTCTGCCACGTCAAATAAATAAATGACACAATGGAAAAAACCTAAAACAAGTAGTCCTATTTCAAACCACATTTACTTACTAGTAAAATTTCTTTGTTATGACACTTTCTCCGGTTTATAGGACCTCTCTCATATTCTATCTTGTCATATCTAAACTCATAGTCATGTATGTCCTCTAACCATCTCATAACGGTTTCCAAACCACTTTTATCGGATGTAAAGTAAAAGCATGGACAGTTATGTAAAACGTCTAAAGTTTCTAAAGAGTCTCTCAAAGTCCAGTCTACTTGGTATTGAAAATCCCATGTGTTATAGAACGGCGGGTCCACTATAAAGAAAATATTTTCCTTGTCTTTATATTTTTCATACAACTCTGTCCAACGACATCTCACAAACTCTATACCCTCAATATATTTTTCTATGTCCTCTTTGAAAACATTTGTATAGTTAAGATATAAAACTTTTGACATAAGTGTTTCAATGTCATGAACTCTTATAGAACCACTATATAATAGTCTAGCAGATATACTATCCCAGTCTATATATTCTGCTTTTTTCAAAACCTCTCTCACAATATTTTTCTTATCTAATGGTATACGTTCCATCTTACCTATAGGTATCTTTTCTTTTAACTCTTTCAATATTTTGTTTGTGTCTGGTATATGTTTGAGACGGTTCGTATAGTTGTCGAAGTCATTGCATATAATCTTTGAGTCAGGAAATACAGTATGGCACAAATGAGATATATAGAAACTTCCACCGAACAAATCTACAAATGTTAGACCATTCGGTAGTTTCTTAAGTTCTCTCAATAGAATATCTTTACATCTACTCTTATTTCCAAAGAAGGGTAACGGTGGTTTTGTAAAATTCATTTATATATAATAATAAAAATGTTTTTTCCTGAAAAGTGACAGAAAAGTGACAAAACATGAAAACATATATAATTTGTGAAAAGCGACACATTATATAATGTTTTCGACCCAGAAGAAGGCTTCTCAAAGTATACTTCCTTGGAACGCCTGTAACTTTTCCTGTAGCGACGATAGACCCTTACTTGTCCGGACAAAGTTATACTAAACATCTTCAGGGCTAGAAGGGGCGCAGCCCCTGGAAGCCCCTCATACCTGACCTGAATGGGAAGATACGCTTCTTTTCAAGGACTGGTTTTCCGAATTCCTTGAGATAACGGTCATAAATCTTGTGAGCACGTGGGACAAGATTAGCAAATGTGAACCAAACAAATACGAGAGCGGCTGGTGATAATGTCAATATGAAATATCCAAACCATTCGATAATTTCACCGAGATAGTTTGCGGATGTTACAAATCTGTACATACCCTTGTTTGGAAGGCAGTGCTTTGTATCACCTGGTTTGCGTAAGTTTCTGATGACATGGTCTGAGTGAATGTTAATAAACATTCCTGTGAAGAAAATGATGGTTCCAATGATGAACTGTGGTGTGCAGAACCATTCATTTGTATAGTATCCTTCTGGTGCAGTGTAGAATAGCCAGCAGCCTTGGATATATCCGTTGCAAACGTTGAATGTAGCTCCCATGAGCATGATAAGGATTGGCATGTATGATTTGCCTTTAAGAAGGAATGGGAAGATGAATGATCTCTGGAAGTAGTGGATCTGGAAGATAATAAAGAATGTGAGATAAATCAACTGGAATCTTCTTTCAGAGAAGTACCAAAGGATGCAGAGAACGATGAATACTGGGCATTCCATTAAGATCCATGCTAACTTGTTCGGAATAGCTGGTCCCCATGATCTACTGGCGAATTTGCCATAGCCGGCGTTAATGAAGTATAAGGCAATGAAGACAAAGACACCAATAATGGACATTGTTGCCATGAATACCTTTAGACCTGAGTAGTCGAGGATGTAGTTTTCTATCATCAAATGAGAAATGATATAAAATTAGAACCAGCTTTTCGATATCAAAATTTGAAAGGTTTACATTATGATGAAATTTTAGATCATCTTCTCAAAATTTGGGTGAGATCAATTGATGAGCGTAATCTAAAATTCTGAGATTGTGAGAATCAAATAAGGGTTTCGTTTTGCGAAAAAAACGTACAATACGCAATTTCGCTAAAAAAACATTTAGCTAGCAATTTCGACCTTTGACTCCACTCAAGACGTCACTTTTTTAATTTTGCGGTATCATATTTTTGGAAAATCTTTATGAATATTATATAAAAAGTCTCTTTAATATCTATATTTCATATTTTTATCGATTTTTAAAGTTTTCGCGAAAAGTATTCAATTATTTTTGCTATTTGGTCGGGTAAATGTCAGATTTGCGACATTTTCTGATATGATATTCAGATTCTACGTTGATAATAATGCTTATAGAACCCTCTTGCTATTGTGTCAAAATTGCGAAACCGATAGCAAAAATATCTCGCAATATCAAAATTGAGATATTGAGTGAATTATGCATTATAGAGATTAAAAATCTGATTTGTGAAAACATCTCATCAGTTTCTAGCTAATTCAAAAATCTTTACTATCTTATTCGATTAAAATGAAAAGGGAATAGTTTCATTATGCTTTAAATGACAGCCTTATAATATAATCATAGTTTTCGCTCAATATGCAGCATTTTTTTTTCGAAATCTATGGTCAATATCCTAAATACTGATTGCTTTGCATTCATATCTCTTACATTTTCTATACCCACATCACTATTCATTGCTATTCCTATCTTTTTCATTTTTGTTTGTTTCTCATAATTTCTCAAAAAACACGATAACTTGATATTTGTAAATATCATACTTTATAACGTAAATAAGAACTTGACCTATTAAGAAATGCAGTAATGAAAAGAAAATCTGAAATTCATAAAAATTACAAGTTTCTGATGACAATTAGCTTAATTAAACCAGGTACAAGATTATATAATTGTATTTTCTATCCAATTATCCATATAATATTTTATCCAGAAAAAATAACTTGATCAATACCAAATGATTTTTTAACTAGTAAATAAAGTATTTTCTTTACACACACATTGTATATCATAGTTTTTTTTTTGGTTTCGCAAAACATCCAAAAACAAATATGCTATAAAAGTGACAATTTTAGCAAAACGAAACCCTTAAATCAAATGAAATCATGATAAATGGTGGAAATTTATATCGTAAATTAATGTCAAGTGAACGCAAAAATACTCTCAAAAATCTGACGAAATATAGAATTATAGGTTTTCTAACCCTTTGATAGGCTTTTCCGATAGCGTTTGAATTTCTACCAGAATACCCTGATAAATACGATTACTAGCAAAGATTGTCTATGATTTGAATAGCAAATCTTTTTAAATCTTGATCAAGGCATCCTCTTCAATATGTTTCAACTATAACCATTTCATGATATTGCTCTTTCTTATTGTTAATGATCCATCATATTAGATAATTAAAGATATTAATTCCATTTTTAGATGTCAAGCATAGTCCTTTCATCTTTTGAATATATTATTAATGAATTAAACAATTTAAAAACAGGATTCATTGCGTTGACTATAAAACATTTCAAATGGACAAATAATGTGATTTGAAATCGAAATAATTTACTAACAAATGAACATAAATTCAAGGATGAGGAGAAAATGTCTTATGTTAAAAACAGCAATATTGCAAGATCTAAAACAAATAGAGCCAAGAACAGTAATTCGTACATAACCATTTCCCACATGTCCGACATCTTCAACACTGTTGATTGAAGTTGGTGATGGGATTTCGGAATTTCCCTGGATTGTTATAGTATTTTCGAAGAAGAATCCAGAAGGATGGATGCTAGTTCCTAATGAGCTTCCTTGAGAATTCATCGCAATGCAGCCTGGGTGGCCGCTAATAAAAGAGCTACCTCCGCTTCCACCCGAAGTATATTCAGCCGCATCCACAAGATAAACAGATCCACCACGCCCACCATAGTACCCACCACCGCCGCTTCCAGCTGTAGATTTACCGTCTTCTCCTTTTCCACCTTGGAAAACTTGGTAGCCATATGTTTGCGTGGCAGCACTAGTCAAAGAAAGGGGCGAACCGGATGGAATTTGACCTTTGGTTCCTTTAATTCCACCACCATGCCCGCCTAGATCATAAATTGTGGGATTGTATGTGGCAGTTTTTCGATATCTCATATCAGTGGATCCACCTGATCCAGCAGAAGGGCCGTCGTGATTAAAATTATCATATGCACCAGGAGCGCCACCGTTAAATCCTGCAGTTCCAACATCTGGCGATCCTGCAACAGTATTGCCCCCTTTTGTCCCAACATAAAAAGTAAAATATGTATCATCTTTCAACTCAATATCTCCGCGAGTATATCCACCTTTTCCGCCGGGATAGTTATATGCGGCACCGATTGTATTCCCAGCACTTGCTCCCCATAACTCAACTCGATATTTTCCTCTTCGAAATTTTGTTTTATAAATTCCATTGTTAACTCCATAAAATATGTAGCACGCAGAATTATGACCATTTTTAGATATATCATAAACACTGGAACTCGGCGAATAATATTTAGTACAGGCTAATGTCAATTATGGTTTAATTCACTCTAATATATCAGATATTGGTATGGCTACTCACATGTGCTAAATTAACACTGAGGAACAAGTTTGAAAAAAATGTCAAAAACAAATGTGAAGAAATTCATTAAATGTGTATTCACATTCTGCATGAAATTCTCGTAAAGATTCATTAGTTTGATATGAGGATATTAATATAATCATTTATATTGAATCATCTTAGAAAATGTCCGAAATTACAAGTTTTCGCGTGATTTTTTCCCTCAATTATTGAAAAAGTCAGCTTGGAAATTTTGATTCTTTTGATCTTCAAAATAATAGGAATAGGATTTTATAATATCAAAAAAAATGAGAGGAAAAGTTATTCCCCCTCAATATATTTTGAAAATGAGCAAGGATCCTTCAATCGATCAAATTATCAAATTTGTTATATCCAGCAATCTTGATGAAGTCAAGAAGGCTATTAAAGGCGAACCGCCAATAGTTGCAGACTTCCCTATTTGCGGTAAATGGAGAAAAAATCTCACTTTACTGCATCTGGCAGCCGCATATGGTAGTCTAACTTGCATAACATTCTTTTTAGGTAAGATTGATATAAATTGTAGAACATTAGACGTTCTTTTTTAATTTAGAACTGGACTCCACTTCATTGTGCTGCTGCGAATAAGCATAGATCAGCTGTTGACGTTCTTCTTAAAAATGGGGCAGATGCAAGTATTGCAAATGATGATATCTTTTATAATTTTATTTTCAAACGCCTCTTCACTTAGCTGCGATGAATGGAAGTGCTGATGTTATTTTAGCTCTTTTAGCTTCAGGAGTTGATGCAGATGCTAAAACTGAAAATGGCTATAATGCAATTCACTATGCTGCATCAGCATCTTTGTCATCTGTGATAGATCCGCTGTTATTATCTGGTGCTGATATAGACTGTGCAGCAAAAGATGGCACAACGCCTTTGCATATTGCTGCAAAATTAAATGCCTTTAATTTTGCAAATGCTTTGATTAGCTTCGGAGCTAATGTTAATGCTCAAGATAATACTGGCTCAACGCCACTTCATTATGCCATTGCAAATTCCCATTTTAATGTTGCAAAGATTTTATTATCTAATGGTGCAGATGATTCCATCAGAAACAATGGAGGACAAACTGCTTCTGATACAGCTCCTGTTCCTATGATTAACCAGACAAGAGCATTCTTTGCAAATTGGGAAGATTGGGATGAAATGGTAGAGTCCATAGAAATTAAGTAACGTGCATTATATTTTGTATAATAAATAAACTATTCTATGAAAATTATATAATTACAACTAAGCTTACAAAAATTTGATATAATTAATCAATTATCTTTGCTGCAAGTGTGTATTTATCTTTTTATGGGAAAATGGTGTGTTCGTTGATTAAACAGCATAAATTAGAAATAATACCGAATTTTTTACAAACAAAACCAAATGTTAATGCTAAGATATTATTAAATACTATAACAAATGTAAAAGTAATAATGTTAGTCCTATTAAAACCTAATTGTATCTATATTTCGGAGAATATATTTTGTTCGAATGTTCCTGGTATTTGAAACTCTGCAACTACACTAGTTCCACCTGAATCAGAAGGAATTAGGAAGGTACATGTTTCGTGTTGATCAATTCCACCCAAATCAAAATGAATTGTTTCCGTTTTTGAAGGTTCAGGTGGTTCAGGTTGGATATTAACTTGTTTCTTCTTTAGTAATTGGGAATATCTGATTTTGACTTGCTATCCTGATCTATTTGTAGAAAGTGATTTAGCAATTTCTGACTATTTATTATGCATCTTTTGATGAGCATGAAGTATGTACTTGTCTTCCTCTTCTGTGAATGGTTCTGGATTCCTACCCAAAAATGATCTAAATCTCTCTTGAATAGCTTTTCTACTGTGTTTATCTTTAAAGATCAACTGTAGCTTCTCTAAAGCAAACTGTGGATTGTTTTCATACCTGTGAAACAATGATAGGATGAGAACGTCATCTTCTGCAGTGAATTTTCTAGAAGGTCGTTTGGCTATTGATGTGTTCAACTCTGGAAAATATATAATGTAATGTTATGAAAATAAAACTATCAAAAATGTAAGAAACTCATGATCGTGAAATTATTACTTATACATTGCAAAGGTAATTTTTAATTTGGGCCGGGAATTAAACCTTTCAAAATCTGCCAGCTAATTAAATGCTACGTACATACTATGGGTACATTACTGAAAAGAAAAACTGTTGCATGCTAAGATCAGTCATAATGTAAACCTCTCAATTTTATTGTCGTGGGAAGTATCTCAATTCCTTCAAAAAAATTGAAAAACTATTTAATTTTAAAAATATAATACTTTTAATTAGTTAATTAATTGGAGATATTTTTAAAAATCACTTTTGATAATACTTTTGAGAACTTTAATTAAAAAAATATATTCAAAAATATCCAGGATATCAAGAGGGAATTGTTCCTTATGAGGTATATAGTTATGATGTATACCTCATAAGGAACAATTCCCTCCTTAAAATGAGAAAACTTGTTCGAAATTGTTTATCATTTCGAACAAGTTTTCTCGTTTTTAATAACAAACTAAAGGCTATGAGGCACTGATTATATATTAGTGCCTCACAGCCTTTAGTTTCTAATAGATAGCTGGGAAACTTTCTCCAAATGATAAGTTATTCAGAGAAAGTTTCCCAGCTATCAAGAGGGAATTGTTCCTTATGAGGTATATAGTTATGATGTATACCTCATAAGGAACAATTCCCTCCTTAAAATCGTAGACATTTTTATACTTATTAATCAACCATTCAAAATCATATTCCTCTGAAAAGTTATTTTATTAAAAATTTAGAATTTTAATAAATATAGAGTTTGAATTTCATACAATACCTATATATTTTCAATAATGGAATTTGAAAACCATTCTCAAAAGTTCTCAGAAAACCTTTTTTTCATTAATTTTAAGAAATCTGAGTATTAAATTAAGTGATAAATTCGTTTGACACTACTTTAATTTTTAAATTCAAAAAATTATATGTGCTTCTTAAAATGACTCAAAAAAATTTTATTATAAAATAATATATAATATTAAAAATCCCACAACATTTTTTTACTTTACATAATCGTACTTCCTCGACGATTAATTTCCACTCAATTTCTATCGTTGACCGAACTTAGCATGCAACAAAACTCCAATTAAAAGTTCCAAAAAGAAAACTGTGAAAAAAAATTAAAGTCAATATTAATTGTTTATTCATTTTAACAGTAAAATTAACAGTAATTATACTAAGAATGTCAATGTGTAAGAGAATTCCCTTCTGTGAAAGAAATATTTTGGAAGAATTAAAAATCTATTCTAAAAACTTGTTGCAAGCAAATATTCGATTCATCAAGAGTAGGATATTAATGGCAATGATGGAAAATGATGATTTGAAGAATCAATTAAATAAAATTTTTTGAAATTTCTGTATTTTGTCAATTATTTTCATCTTGTTTGACTGATTTGATGTTTTCATCTGTCACTTTGTATATTATGAGTCTATCTGATGGATGTTCGATGTTTCCCTTGTCAAACATGTAAGAAGAAGCAATTGCAAGGAAATTTCCATCCGGAGAGAATTCTAATGCAGAAACAGATGTTTCGAATTGGAAAGGAATTGGTTGTAGCTTGTTTTTGTTTTTCAAATCCCAGAAATTCACCATTCCGCCACTGCAGCCTGAAACAAGGGTTCCTTCCTTAGGATGGAAGCATAAAGCGTTGATTGGGTAAACAATTGTCTTCTCTTCTTCTTCCTTTCTGTGAGAATGAAAAGCAAATCTTTGTGCTTGGCTTTTTAGGTCTCCGAAGTACTCTATTGCTACGCGCCCGTCTATTGATGATACTGCCCAACCATATTCTTCGGGATATGATGGACAGATTGCTCGTATTTGCATTTGTAAAGAAGATATTCTTTGTTCGACTGTAATTGCTTCTGGTTTTGTAAGATCTAGTATTACGACTGTATTCTTTGCTGTACAAATTACTACGTGATTGCTGTTTGAGCAAGCTGCGACTATTTTTTGACCAACATTATGAGAATGTAATGGTTCTTCATCACCTGGGAACCAGAAATGTACGTAACCATCCCAAGAAGCAGAAAAGAAGACGTCTACTGCCTTAATAAATCCAACAGAACAAACTCCTTGAGTATGTTTTTGTAGAATTTGGCCGTTTTTTGTGTAAAGTTTGCCATCTGCTGCTCCACAGACTACATTCTGATCATCGGACCATGTAGAACAGAGCAATGGTGAAGGAAATTTTGTTTCGAAAATTTTTTCTAAGTTTTCTAACGAATATATAGTTAAATTTCCACTCCATGCTGTTACGCAAAGTTGTTCACCAGTTTCAGGCAGAAAATGGAGGGAAGAAATTCCATCATCAGATGGAATATTAATTTCCTGAAACATTATAAAATGAAAAAAATAATAAATTTTTTAAAGAAAAGCTTTACTTTTTAAGGGTGCACACGAGAGGATCATGTAAACTTCAGAATTTAGAACCTTATTTTTAGGCATTATCTTGGCTACCTATTTAGGCTCGAAAAGCAAAAAATATCAAAAAATACAACTTGACTCCATTATGACTCTTTCATGGAGGTAGTTTTTATCCGCTAGTATTTTCCCTTTGAATCTCTTTACAATTCGAAATCAAATTCAAACCTCAGTAGAAGAAAGGAAGAATCGACTTACTACGGTTGTAATACGAATAAATACATATATTTAATTATTTTTATTTACATAATAATTGTTTGAAGCTCATATTCCATCAAATTTTTAAATAAAAACATTAAAATGTTGAAAATGTTCATATATTTTAATAGGGTTTTGGCACTTTATTGAGGAATTACTACATACATAGTCGAACTGAACTTGATATTTTGAAATTTAAATTATTTATCAAAATTAAAATTTAACTTGAAATTTATAATTATTTAGTCATATTTTGCATAATTCTAAGTAGATTTTGTAAAAAATCAAGAAAGAAAAATTTTAACGTGCTTTATTTTTTCTTTTTTATAATAATACATATTATTATATAATTAACATATTCATAATGTTTCACCCTTTCAAAAATATAATCCTCCTCCTCTCAAATAAACGTACATACGGGTGCACCCTTAAAATAAACTCAAAACCTACTTTCACTTTGTTTCAAAAACACGTGCAAGGTTGACATACTTCTGGTATCTACGGACTACTTGCTTATGGAGTTCAGATCTCATCTTTGTGAACTCCTCTGGGTGCTGTCTCTTAAGCTGGTTGTATCTGACCTGCATATCGAGGAATTCGTCAAGCTTCTTCTCATCTGGTGTTCTTGAGAACATCTCGATTGGGTTCTTTCCTTCCTTCTCTCTACGTGGATCGTAAGAGAAGAGTGGCCAGTAGCCGGAGTCGACGGCGAGGCGCTGAGCAGTGATGCCTCCCTTACCGCCAGCACCGAGAGCGCCGCGGATGTGGTGCAAGATGCAGTTGCAGTAGCAGACGATGAGGGATGGTCCGTTGAAATCTTCGGCTTCCTTGAGGCACTTGATGAAGTGGTTCATCTCCTTCTGGTTGCCGAATGCGCACTGTGCGACGTAGCAGTTGCCGTAGTTCATCATCATCCAGGCGAGGTCCTTCTTTGGTGTGTCCTTGCCGTTTGCTGCGAACTGTGCAACAGCGCCGATGTTTGTGGCCTTGGACTGCTGGCCGCCTGTGTTGGAGTAGACTTCGTTATCGAAGACAAGGACGTTGAAGTTCTTGCCGGAAGCCATGATGTGGTCTAAGCCGCCGAAGCCGATATCGTATGCCCAGCCATCACCACCGAGGATCCAGTTGGATGGCTTGACCCAGAGATCGTTGTTCTCGACGATTCTCTTGAGGTCGTCGTTCATGTTCTCCTTGATTGCCTTGAGGATTGGCTGTTCTAATCTGAGGGACTTATCACCATCGAGCCACTTATCGCTCCACTTCTTGAGGAGGTCGACAAGTTCCTTAGAGACCTTAGCGCACTTCTTCTGGTCCTTGAGGAAGTCGTCGACATCGTCCTTGAGGTGGCAACGGCGTAACTCCATGCCGACAGCCTGGCCGTAGCCGAATTCAGCGTTATCTTCGAAGAGAGAACGTGCCCAAGCTGGACCGCGGCCGTTCTCGTCTGTGATGAATGGAATACGTGGGAAGGCACCGCCCCAAACTGATGAGCAGCCGGATGTGTTGGCGATGACCATTCTCTTGCCGAAGAGCTGTGTGATGATCTTTGTGATCATTGTCTCGGAGCAGCCCTCGCATGAGCCTGGGAACTCGATCATTGGCTTCTGGAACTGTGAGCCACGGATGTTGAACTTGTTCTTGATGACATCGCCGTGGTTCTTGCACTTGTCGTTGAGCCAGATGAACATGTCGTTGTGGTGTGTAGCGCGCTTCATGCCCTTCTCAGAGCGGATCTCTGTCATGGAGAGAGCTCCAGCTGGGCAGTGGTTGACGCACAACTCGCAGCCAACGCAGTCGTATGGAGAAACTTCGATCCTGTACTTGAATCCCTTGACATCAGCACCCTTTGCGTCGAGTAATGAGAGGTCCTTCAACTCCTTCGGGATGTTCTTGACCTCTTGCTGGTCGAGTAAGTATGGGCGGATGACAGAGTGTGGGCATGTAGCACCGCACATGTTGCACTGGATGCACTTCTTCTCGTCCCACAATGGCATTCTTGGGCTGAGACCCTTCTTGAGCCATGAGCATGTGCCGAGTGGAGAAACACCACCAAGGCATGGCTGGAATGCAGAAACTGGAAGGCCAGCGCCGGCTGTGGCAACGCATGGCTCGATGACATCGGAGACAACCTTTGGCTTCTCGTGTGTCTTCTCTTCAAGGAATGAGATGAAGTTATGGTCCTTGAATGCGCCTGGAGCATCAACTGCTTCGGCCCATGATGCTGGGATTTTGATCTCCTTGAGAGCCTTGACACCTTCTCTTGCAGACAACTTGTTGTTGTTGACAACTTTCTCGCCGAGTCTGGAGAACTCCTTCTCGATCCACTTGTCTGTGACCTTGAGCCAGTCCTCGCCAAGAAGGCCGGAGAGCTGGTAGAAGCAGGCCTGGACAATTGTGGAGATCTTGCCGTGCATGCCGCACTTCTCAGCGACAGCTGTAGCATCGCAGACGAAGAGTCTGGCGTTCTTCTTTGCGAGCTGGCGGCGGAACTTGGCTGGAAGGTTCTTCTCGAGGAGTTCGACTGTGTCCCATGGGCAGTTCAAGAAGAATGAGCCGTTTGGAGCGAGCTTGTCGGCCATTGGGTACTTTGTAACGTAGGCTGGTAATGTGCAGCCGACGAACTGTGCTTCGAGGATTGTATATTGGGCTGTAATTGGCTTGGAGTCGAATCTGAGGTATGAACGTGTGAGTGAGTTTGACTTATCTGCGGAGTATGAGAAGTTGCCCTGTGCGTGCATTCCCATGACGTCAATGGCTGCCTTGATAGCGGCCTTGTTGGCGCCGATTGTGCCATCACCACCGAGGCCCCAGAAGATGGCCTGGATGGAGCGCTTGGCTGGTCCGAAGCCTGGGAGCTTGCCTGGTGTCAATGAAAGGTGTGTGACATCATCTGTTATGCCGACTGTGAAGCGCTCGATTGGCTTCTCCTTTCTCATGTTGTCGAAGACAGCCTTGGCGTGGAGTGGTGTGAATTCACGTGATGCAAGACCGTAGCGGCCACCAGTGACCTTGGCTGGGTGGTTAAGCTGCTTGCATGTGAAAGCAACGTCGAGGAAGAGTGGCTCTGCCTCAGCTGCTGGATCCTTGGAACGATCAAGAACGGAGATTCTCTTGACTGTTGGTGGAAGTGCGCGGATGAAATCTTCCATTGACCATGGGCGGAAGAGGTGTGGGATAACAAGACCAACCTTGTCACCGGCCATGAAGTCGATTGTCTCCTTGATGACTGGAGCAGCAGCACCCATGCAAACGATGACGTCTGTAGCTTCTGGATGGCCGTAGTAGTCGAAGAGCTTGTACTGGCGGCCTGTGAGCTTAGCGAGCTTGTTGAAGTTGTTCTGAACAATCTTTGGAATAGCATCGTAGTATGGGTTTGCGAGTTCGACTGTCTGGAAGTAGGCGTCTGGGCCTTGTGAGTGGCCGAGAATAATTGGATGCTGTGGGTTAAGAGCGCGTCTGCGGATTTCGTTTAATTTATCGAATGGCATTAACTGTTTCATCTGCTCCTTTGTGATTGGCTCGATGGAGTCGATCTGGTGAGAGAGTTTGAAGCCTTCGAAGAAGTGAACGAATGGGATTTCGGAGTCAACTGTGGACATATGAGAAACGGCGGCAAGGTCCATGACTTCTTGGATTGTTGATGAGCAGAGCATAGCGAAGCCTGTGTTCTTAACACACATAACATCTGCGTGATCGCCTTGGATGGAGAGAGCTTGTGTTGAAACAGCACGAGCTGCAACGTGGAAAACTGTTGGCCAAAGTTCACCAGCTGTCTTGAGCATGTTTGGAATCATTAAAAGAAGGCCCTGAGAAGCTGTAAATGTGCATGTGAATGTACCAACGGAAGCTGCGCCGTGTAATGCGCCAGCAGCGCCAGCTTCTGATTGAAGAACGCGAACAATTGGAACTCTGTCCCAAATGTTCTTTTTACCAGCGCATGACCATTTGTCGTATTGGTCACCCATTGGTGTAGATGGGGTAATTGGATAAAGGAAGGAAGCTTCAGACATGTTGTATGCAACATGTGCTGCAGCAGCATTTCCGTCCATAGGGACGAGCTTGGATGCAAATCTTGTTGTCTGATTAAGAGTCATATACTATCAAGAATGTGATATGAAATGAATCCCGATCAGCGTTTCCAATTCAATTTTGAAGAAAACGATGAATTTTTCTTATAAATAATCGTCAACTTTACAAGTATTTGTGAGCGTATCGTTTTTCTTTTTCGATTTTATTATTGAAAATAAGGTCCTGATATGATAAAGAGTTGATGGAATTTTTCTCTTAAAATGAAGTCAATGTTTCAAATAAATTCTCTACTTAGAGATAAAGATCTAAATGGTATACACATAAAAATAAAGATTTTTTATAATTTCTGAGTTATATTAAAGTTTTACGCACTTTTTCAAAGAGAAACAATATTAAGAAAGACTGGTAATAGCCATTAGAAAAAACTTTGATCTAATTCATTTTTGTTAAGGAATTGAATGATTTGAAATGGTTTTCATTGAAATTTATCGTCTCATCACTAATCAATTTTAGTACTAAAGTTGGCCGGTTCCTAATCTAAAGGATTGCTTAGTTCGTTAAAAGAAAGCTACACAGCTAATCGGAAGGGACTTATATGAATTTTGAAATTATTTGATCCTCGATATTTCTTGGATGGTTGGTTTACTTGGACATATTTGTTTAATTTTTTAGTTATCCCATAGATTAACAACTCTAATAGCCAATAGTTTTTTGCTCAAGTTGGTCAATGCATTGTGAGGGTATGAACTGATTCCGATTTTATAGATGAATTATATGGTATATTAATCCTGGTTATGACGCCGATTGATTCCCAAAATACAACGAATAAATCAAACAGATTAAAACTCGGTTTTTTAAATTTTCATTTTAATTAATTAAAAATACTTTAGACGTGTTTGTATGTAAAAATACTTACTAACCTTGATATCTATTTCAAAATATAAAAATTTGAAAAGATAGCAGATTTTTGTCAGAAATATTTAAATCAAAAAATTCCGTTAAAAACAAGATTTGAATAATAGGCTTGGACAACTGTTGCGAGTGATTTATCCAAAACGATATTGTATAAAGCTACTTTCAAAATTGAATTGGAGAAAAACTGTTAGAAATGTGACATTTTATAGAAAGTTTATTCGTCGAGTAAAAGCACTCTCTAATCTTGCACTTCTTTTATTCGTTAATATCAGAAAGTACTAGACTTAACAGATTATAGATTCCATGGTATCATTTATTTTTATGCGTAAATTTTATTAATGACATAATATTAGGTCATTATACTCAATTGTACTGTAGTTTCATCATATTAAATGTTCTTTACTATATCTTCTTCGTACTAAAATTGAACAAATAGAAAACAAATTTTTTGCATTATTATTTTCTTTAATGAATCCGGCCAAGAGTGTTAGCATCAATGACTTTTACATCTATGCATGATTTTCTTTGCAAACAATTTCTATTTCGGACTTCCGATTATCATATTGATACAATAGCCTCTTTAATTTCAAATGGCCTTTTTATATTGCGCTTATTTACATACTGTTGAAATAGAATATCAAGTTATCCATCTTCGATCAACTGACCACAAAATCGGTTCTGAAACTTTGATGCCTTATTAACAATTTTTCTTATGTCTTTAGTTTGTATTTATGAAGTACTATCGAACTATATAAAATGAAATCCAAAATGTCGATATTTTTAAATACCGTAAATTTGATAAGGTAGTCACAAAATCGAAATAGTGAGGCTCTCAAAAATTGAACCGTACTCCATACAAAATTTGTGTACCCTCACTACTTAGATTTTGTGGCCTTCAATTGAGAGGTTAGTTTTGATAGAGCACGTTATAAAATTAAAAGGGAAAAATAAATAAAATTTAAACATTTAATTATATATAATGTAAGGAGTGTAATTCCAAATTTTCTAAAAACTATTCAAATTTGAGCATTTTTTTGGAAATAGTAAATCTAATATGTACATCTAATAACAACATGATTCTGTTGTAAACAGAAATTCATCAAAAGTGACACCTCAGAAAAGCTAAAATATTGAATTTTTGGAACTTTTGATAGAGCACGTTTTTAAATATTAATTAAAGTAAATGTATATTTTGTAAAGATTCTTTTTAATAAAAAAATAAAATTTTGAAGAAGAACACAAAATCTTCTGAAAAATAATATCACATAAACTCATATTATTTTCTAATATATAACTATTTTATATAAAAATCAAATTCAATGATCTTAAAAGCGAAGGATAAACCTCAAAATTTACGAATATAATGAGTGGGAATATAATGCTTATCTATCATAAAACCATATGAAATATTAATTTTTGCTTTACGCCTAATTTTTGACGACAATTAGCAAAAAATGTTAAATGTTAACACTCAGTCCATTTGAATATGAAAAATAAAATTGACTTTGATTAAATGTTTTTATTTATCATGCAATTCTTCTTGCGACCAAAGATTTGAATAAAAGTTCAAAAAATAAGATAGCTTAAAAAATAATATACGGTAGTGTTTACTAATAGATGAATAGTATATAAATTCTATTAAAATGGATTTGATCCAAAAAAATATATAAAATTTGATCATAAATAAAATCGTTTTTAATTACTTCTTCATTTAAATTATAACAATTATTTTTGGTTTTATATTTTTTTGGATCAAATCCATTTTAATAGAATTTATATACTATTCATCTATTAGTAAACACTACCGTATATTATTTTTTAAGCTATCTTATTTTTTGAACTTTTATTCAAATCTTTGGTCGCAAGAAGAATTGCATGATAAATAAAAACATTTAATCAAAGTCAATTTTATTTTTCATATTCAAATGGACTGAGTGTTAACATTTAACATTTTTTGCTAATTGTCGTCAAAAATTAGGCGTAAAGCAAAAATTAATATTTCATATGGTTTTATGATAGATAAGCATTATATTCCCACTCATTATATTCGTAAATTTTGAGGTTTATCCTTCGCTTTTAAGATCATTGAATTTAAAAAAAAAAAAAAAAAAAAAAAGGTAGTGGGGCTTCCAGGCACTTCGTGCCTTCTAGCCCTGAGGATGAATGAGTATAATGAAGTTTTTTTTTTCTTGGGGGATGGCTTCCAGGCACTTCGTGCCTTCTAGCCCCCGAAGATGTTTAGTATAAATGAAGTCTCAACAAAGTCTTTACGAAGAAGTCTCAACAAAGTCTTTACGAAGAAGTCTTGACAAAACATTTACAAAGAAGTCTTTACAAAGTCTTTACAAAGTCTTTACGAAGAAGTCTTTACAAAACATAGACAAGAAAGTCTTTACAAAGTCTTTACGATGAAGAACTTTACAAAGTCTTTACAAAACATAGACAAGAAAGTTCATGAGAAATTAGATGAAGAAGTCTCAACAAAACATAGACAATGAGTGTAAATCAGACAAAAATAATGTTTAGGGTAGAAGGTTAGATATAACCTCTTTTCTAACCTCTTTTCTACCCTCTTGAATTTTCATGATTTCTTCGTCATAGGCACGGAGATAGGACGGTTATTTTACAAAACTGACAACACTTTGACCGAGTAGTTTTTTGTGCTGAACAATAAGTGTCATATAAACATCTGTCAAAAACCGTTTTTTACTTCACTTAAAATGCCACGTAAGCTACGTAAGAATATACGTAAGAGGAAGAGAGCATTGAAACATCCAATAGTAAAACTGACACCACAACAACAGTTGCAACAACAAATGATGAATGACCCCACTATGTTGCAACAAATGTCAAGCAATCCTATGCTTTTAAACCGAGTTTTTGGTGCACAGAGTGGAGGTTTAAGAGCGGCACTTTTAGCGAAAATGGCAGGCTATGGTGGAGCTGCAGACGGAACAGCCTATAACCCTCAAAGTCAAATGAATTTGAGTTCACTCAAAAATCAAATAGCAGATGTCAAAAAGTCAAACATAGACATACAGAAACAAATAAGTGAAAACGAAAAGAAACTAGAATATGACAGACACACAAAGAAACTCAATGAGTTAAACGTAGAGAAAAAGAAGAAAGAAGAACAACTGAAAGAACTAAGTACAGAGGAATATGCGAAAAAAGTGTCAGAAAAAGCAGCAGAAGTAGCAAAAATGGAACAAGATGTTATAAATTTGAAAAACCATACTACTCAATATAAAGTACTGAAAGATGAAGAAATAAAACAAAAAGCCATGAAGACATATATGGATAGCGATGAGTATAAAAAAGAAGTTGAAGCAAATGTAAAGGCAGAAAAACTTTTACAGTTGCAAAACCAAACCGTACAGTATGAAAACTTAGCACAAGAAAGTAAAAATAACGACGCGGCTATGCAAAAGGCAATGAAAAGCGCAGAATATATAAAAGCTAATAATGACTGGTTAGATGCCCAAGCCAACGCCAAAGCAGCCCAACTTATAGGGTCAATAAGGACAAAAATACAAGCGGATGAAGACAGTTCAAATGAAGCTTTAATGAATGCTGACTTTAAGAACGCCTTCGAAGCTCTTCATAGTAAGGTGAAACAAGTGAACGACTTCTCATCTGGAAAGAAACTGAAGTCTGAAGGTTTCGACAACGAGTTAAGAGAAGTAGCACAAAATATGACGAAAATAACAGATGCAGCAACGAGACAGGCAGTTCAAAGTGCCTATGACTCCGTTAGAGCAACTGTTGTGGAAAGTCAAGAAAAAGAGTTACAACAGACCAAAACAGACCTAGTAAATGCTTTCTTAAAACGAAAAGTCAGGTAGGACATTACGCTGCAGATGGAACATATGTGCCAGCTGGTGGAACTTATATACCACCAAACCCTCCAAGAGAAGCACCTGCACCAGGACTACCTAAAACATTTACATCGTCACATGGACACAGACACAGGCATGCACAACAACCAGCACAACAACCACCTCCACAACCAGCACAACAACCAACACAACAACCAGCACAGCAACCAACAGTTCAAAACCCTGCACAACAACAACCACAAACAGAGCAAGGACATAAAAGAAGTAGAGAACAAGGAAACCAAGAATTCTTAAAAATGCTTAAAGAAGAG